TCAAACTCTCGCTCTTTCAGATGATATGATACTTTATGTGGAAAACCCCAAAGACTCCACCCCAAAACTGCTAGAACTCATACAGGAATTCAGTAAAGTGGCAGGATATAAAATCAATGCACAGAAGTCAGTGGCATTCCTATACACCAACAACAAGACAGAAGAAAGAGAAATTAAGGAGTCGATCCCATTTACAATTGCACCCAAAACCAAAAGATACCTAGGAATAAATCTAACCAAAGAGGCAAAGGATCTGTACTCAGAAAACTATAAAATACTCATGAAAGAAATTGAGGAAGACACAAAGAAATGGAAAAACGTTCCATGCTCATGGATTGGAAGAACAAATATTGTGAAGATGTCAATGCTACCTAGAGCAATCTACACATTCAATGCAATCCCCATCAAAATACCATCCACTTTTTTCAAAGAAATGGAACAAATCATCCTAAAATTTGTATGGAACCAGAAAAGACCGCGCATAGCCAGAGGAATGTTGTAAAAGAAAAGCAAAGCTGGCGGCATCACAATTCCGGACTTCCAGCTCTATTACAAAGCTGTCATCATCAAGACAGTATGGTACTGGCACAAACAGGTACATAGATCAATGGAACAGAATAGAGAGCTCAGAAATGGACCCTCAACTCTATGGTCAACTTATCTTCCACAAAGCAGGAAAGAATGTCTAATGGAAAAAAAGACAGTCTCTTCAACAAATGGTGTTGGGAAAATTGGACAGCCACATGCAGAAGAATGAAACTGGACCCTTTCCTTACACCACACACAAAAACAAACTCCAAATGGTTGAAACACCTCAATGTGAGACAGGAGTCCACCAAAATCCTAAAGGACAACACAGGCAGCAACCTCTTTGACCTCAGCCGAAGCAACTTCTTCCTAGAAACATCTCCAAAGGCAAGGGAAGCAAGGGCAAAAATGAACGATTGGGACTTCATCAAGATAAAAAGCTTTTGCAAATAAAGGAAACAGTCAACAAAACCAAAAGACAACCGACAGAATGGGAGAAGATATTTGCAAATGACATATCAGATAAAGGGCTAGTATCCAAAATCTCTGAAGAACTCATCAAACTCAACACCCAAAGAACAAAGAATCCAATCAAGAAATGGGCAGAAGACATGAACAGACATTTTCCCAAAGAAGACATCCAAATGGCCAACAGACACATGAAAAAGTGCTCAACATCGCTCAGCATCAGGGAAATCCAAATCAAAACCTCAATGAGATACCACCTCATACCAGTCAGAATGGCTAAAATTAACAGGTCAGGAAATGACAGATGTTGGTGGGGATGCGGAGAAAGGGGAACCCTCCTACACTGTTGGTGGGAATGCAAGCTGGTGCAGCCACTCTGGAAAACAGTATGGAGGTTCCTCAAAAAGTTGAAAATAGAGCTACCATACGATCCAGCAATTGCACTACTGGGTATTTACGCCAAAGATACAAAAGTAGGGATCCGAAAGGGTACGTGCATCCCGATGTTTATAGCAGCAATGTCCACAATAGCCAATCTGTGGAAAGAGCCAAGATGTCCATCGAGAGATGAATGGATAAAGAAGAGGTGGTATATATATACAATGGAATATTATGCAGCCATCAAAAGGAATGAGATCTTGCCATTTGCAACAACGTGGAGGGTATTATGTTGAGCGAAATAAGTCAAACAGAGAAAGACATGTATCATATGACCTCACTGATATGAGGAATTCTTAATCGCAGGAAACAAACTGAGGGTTGCTGGAGTGGGGGGTGGGTGGGAGGGATGGGGTGACTGGGTGATAGACACTGGGGAGGGTATGTGCTCTGGTAAGCGCTGTGAATTGTGCAAGACTGTTGAATCTCAGATCTGTACCTCTGAAACAAATAATGCAATATATGTTAAGAAAAAAAAAGAAGAAGAAGAAGAAGGTAGCAGGAGGGGAAGAATGAAGCGGTGGAAATCAGAGGGGTAGAGGAACCATGAGAGACGATGGACTCTGAAAAACAAACTGAGGGTTCTAGAGGGGACGTGGGTGGGAGGATGGGTTAGCGTGGTGATGGGTATTGAGCAGGGCACATTCTGCATAGAGCACTGGGTGTTATGCACAAACAATGAATCATGGAACACTACATCTAAAACTAATGATGCAATGTATGGGGATAATATAAGAATAAAAAAATTAAAAAAAATTAAGTGTATCTTAAGAGCAAACTTTGTATCACAATAAGTGGCAACCTGCACTATTTGCTATGAATAGTGCTCTGTTCTTAAAATCAAGCTTCTGAACCTGAGTCCTGTTGTTCCTTCATTAAGAGTGCAATTAGCTACCGGTAGGTCGAAAAACCCCCAATAGTTCAAAACTGTGACCTTCTGAGATCCTAAGTCTGACAGGTTGAAAGAGAACAAGAAAGGAAGTAATTTTTCCAAAATGCAATTCATTATTATTTATTTTTGTTCCTGTATACCATCTAAATTCTTCTTCTGCACCTTGGCAAATATGAGTGAAGATAAATGAGATGAGTTTTTCTAGTTGGACAGAATTCTCTTTTTAGATCACGTGGTCCAGTTTACCACCATTGGGCTTCAGGAGTATATGTTGTATTTGAGTTCATGTTAACCAGTTAAGAGGCAAGCTGGATCAAAGAACACAGGGCCATAGCAGGAACTGAACTTAAAGAATGAAACTTGAAGCATGTGCCGGAGAATGGTCTGACAGCTATGCTCATGTGGTTTTAGAAGCGTTGGCTGGGGGAGCTGGGGAGCTCATTTGGTTAAGCATCTGCCTTCTGCTCATGTCATGATCCTGGAGTCCTGGGATTGAGCCCCGCCTTTGGCACCCTGCTTAGCGGGGAGTCTGCTTCTCCCTCTCCCTCTGCCCTTCCCCACCTCTCGTGCTCTCTCTCTCTCTCAAATAAATAAATAAAATCTTAAAAAAAAAAACCAAACAACATTTAAAAAAGAAGCTTTGGCTGAGGAGAGTCTCCCTTACCATGGGGCCAGTCTTTGGCAGGCTGCCATGTTAGGTAGTATCATCCTCAAGGAACTTGGAGATCTAAGGGAAGAAGCTGGAGCTCTTGGGTTAAATATTAGTCTTGCACTAATAACCTCCTTAATCTTGACCTTTTCCATTTCTGCCCTTGGTGGAATGTACTGAACACCTATCAGGTATTTATAGTACTTGGAGCAAGATAGAGAACTTGACTTCATTCTCCTGCACTTTGTCATGGTTGACTCTTGTTAACTCTTTCTCCCTCTTCCCTCCCTTCACATCACTCTGCAAGTCTCACCAGGTCCTCCTCCTGTGTCTTCCCCCTCCTCCTCACTCCCCTCCTGAGACCCACTCTGCAGCTTTCATCATCAGATATCTAGACTTTGGTCATTCTGGAGCTACTTTTATAATTTCTTCCTATCTGTGTACCACCTGTACTGTGTTTTATTTATATTTTTCTTTCAGTCAAAAGCTTTTTAAACTTAAGTCTGGGTGGCGCCTGGGTGGCTCAGTCGTTAAGCGTCTGCCTTCGGCTCAGGTCATGATCCCAGAGTCCTGGGATCGAGCCCCGCATCGGGCTCCCTGCTCTGCAGGAGGCCTGCTTCTCCCTCTCCCACTCCCCCTGCTTGTGTTCCCTCTCTCGCTGTGTATCTCTCTCTGTCAAATAAATAAAATCTTTAAAAAAAAAAAAAAAAAAAAACCCCAAAAACTTAAGTCTGTAAAAATATGTAAAATCATCAGGTTTATATGACAGCTAACTTTTTGAAAATACTCATTAAGACGAACATAGAACTGTTAACATTTAAAAAAATCATATATGGTATCACAGTATCATTTCATATACCATTCCTTGCCCATGTATTATTGGTAACTTTGACCTATAGCAATGGTTCTTAGCTGAAGCGTTACATTAGATTTGTGGGGGAAGATATTTTCAAAAAGCAATGTTACAGGATTCACCAATGAAGCCAAAATTTTTGGGAGTGGCATACAAGGTATAGAGAGTTTTTCTGAAGAGTTTCTCAGGTGTGTCTAATGTGCAGCCTAAACTGAAAAATGCTGAGCCTAGAATATGGTAAAATATATATACACACATATATATATGTGTATATTTGAAAGAGAGGGAGAGAGGGTTTGAGGGGTGGAGGAAGAGGAGAGGGGGAGAGAGAATCTTAAGTAGGCTCCACGCCCAGCACAGCGCCTAATGCCAGTCGTAAGGCTGGATCTCATGACCCTGAGATCATGACCTGAGCTGAAACCAAGAGTTGGATGCTTAACCGACTGAGCCACCCAGGTACCCTGCTGTGGGCCATCCCTGGTTTCTAGAGCTTACCCTGCCCTATGTTTATGGTATTTAAATGTAAATAATTACAATTAAACGAATTAAAATAAAATACAAATACAGATTTACTTCCATAGTCACATTAGCCACATTTCAAGAGCTCAGTAGCCGCACATGGCTGGTGGCTACCATATTGGATAGCGTGGCTATGGAACCTTTTAGTCATCCCCAAAAGTGCCACTGGACAGTGTTTCTCTAGCAGGTGGGTGAACCTTAGAGCCCACAGTTTGCCTTTTTGGGGGGTTGGTAAACAGGGCTTTTAAGAGGATGATCTTAGAATTATGCTGACTCCCTGTTATCAACTTGGCTTCTCTGATTATCCGACTGACCTTTGACAAACTACTTAGCCTCTCTGAGCTTCAGTTTGATCATCTGTAAAATCGGGATCATGAAAGCCCCCTTACATACTTGTAAGTATTACAGGAGATATGGTGTGTACTAAGTTACTCTGGAGGTGGTATATATGTGTTTTATGAATAACTTAGCCCTTGCCCTTGGCCTCATAAGTGGGGGCCTCTGGCCGCCTTCAGAGCCCACCTGCTCTTCAAGTCCCCCTGCAGTGCAGCCCGCCCTGTCCTTGCAGGAGTGGAGACCTTAATTATGTAATTTTTTTTTTTAAGATTTTTATTTCTTCATTTGACAGAGAGAGACACAGTAAGAAAGGGAACACAAGCAGGGGGAGTGGGAGAGGGAGAAGTAGGCTTCCCGCTGAGCCGGGAGCCCGATGCGGGGCTCGATCCCAGGACCCTGGGATCATGACCTGAGCCGAAGGCAGACGCTTAACGATTAAGCCACCCAGGCGCCCCCTTAATTATGTAATTTAAAATATAAGCAAATAAAGGGATACTTTTCCTGCAGTACCGTTTCGGCTGAAGGGAGATTTAATCTGAAGATAAGTGCGTGCACCTCTTGGCCCAGTCCCCCGGGCATCTGGCCCTTTCCCTAGAGGCCTTGGGAAGAGGTCTTGACTTAGGGAGAGGGTTTCCATAACCACTTCAGCCTTGGACTGGCCTGGAGTTTAATTTTCACCCTCTGCTTTTGTCTAGGGCTAAACTTGGGCAAGCTGCATGCTCCTTGTCTTGTGCTAGATCTTCATATGCAAGGTGCATCTTCAAAGAAAACATACCTCTTCAGTGACCTTTTCCTCTCCGCCAATGAGCTGCTTCATCCCTAGTCATGCGCAGAAGTCAAAGGACACTGGGGTGGCTTCCATGGTTCATTCATAAAGGGAAGAAATGCTAAAACACGACTATAAAAATGATGGTCTATTTTAAATATTTGTGCCTAATAAATTAGTGCTTTTAATGCATACATAATATGCTGTGTGGAGTGACCACAATTATTACATAATTATGGTTGTATAAAAAATACCACCCGTGTCTTGGAGGATGTGTGGTCTGGTAATGGGACTCATGTGTAATGTTGTAATGATTGCAGGGTAATTTGAATCTAGTCAATAGATTATAGACACTGTATGTCAAAGCTTAACATGAGACGGTGCTGGAAATCTGAAGCTGAATCCTTCTGTGTCTCAGATGCCCCGGGACTGAAAGCTCTCAGAAGCCCACTTCATAGGCCCTGAGAGTTCAGCTTCTATCCCATAAAAACTTAAAAGAAAATTTTAATAGCAAGGAACTTGGGTATTTTCATACATGGAGTTTCTTAGAAAAGAGGAAAAATCCGGGATATATCATCCAGAACAACTCGTTTGCTTTCTGACATAACTATTTGCTTCTCTTTTCTTTATTATGTGGACTTCCTACTTCACTCATCTTGCTTTCTGCTTCAGTAGTTACTGATTTGTGAACGTGTTTACTTGCGCTCCCCTTTGAAGTTGGGAAAATTAAACAAACTCCTTGTCTCCAAATAATGTTGAGTGCAGCGTGCTTCTCCGAGGTCTTTGTGAAATGCCTTTAAAACCACTGGTGAGCGTTGACTTCTGGACTTTTTCGTCTTTTAAAATTTGCTCACATCATTTGGATTAGAAGAATGTGAACAGACAGCAAGATTTAGACAGTGTGATTCCAAATTTGCGTGCTTTTCTGTAAATACCCTTTTTTAAAAAGGTTTTATTTATTTATTTGACAGAAAGAAACACAGCTAGAGAGGGAACACAAGCAGGGGAAGTGGGAGAGGGAGAAGCAGGCTTCCCGCCGTGCAGGGAGCCCGATGCGGGGCTGGATCCCAGGACCCAGGGATCATGACCTGAGCCGAAGGCAGACACTTAACGACTGAGCCACCCAGGCGCCCCAGTACCTTTTTTTTAAAGATAAATATTGTGTCTTTTAAATCATATCGAAGGGTTTGGTGGCCATTCCTTTGTCCCTCCTTATCCTTCTCTTTCCCCCCAACTATCCTCTTCTTCATTCACGCCTGCACTCACACCCTCACTCAGCACTCCTAGAATGGACAGAGTGTTAGGGAGGTGCATTTCCTATGTAGGTAACTTTGCCAGATCATATAACCTCTCTCTGTCTTAGTTTTCTGGATTGGTAAAAGGGCAGTAGTGATGGTGCGAGCCCCAGAAGGTAAGTACCGTAGGTATATTGTATAGGTTGGTGAGAGGGTTAAATAAATTTATGAATAAAAGTACTTGGCACCCAGGGTGTACTCCATACGTTGTCCTTATTTTTTGTTGTTATTAATTTTATCATCCTTTCATTCACTGCTCCCTGATCATCATACTTCTTAAAACGGAGTATGCCAGCTACTAAGGACCTTGTGGTTAACAGAAAGATGTGGTTTTGCATTCATGGACCCTTGAACCCAGCATTTACTTCTTTTTTTTTTGGAAGTCTGTTTATTTTTTTTAGTAATCTCTGCACTCAAGATGGGGCTCGAACCCATGACCTCTAGATCAAGAGTCGCATGCTCTTCTGACTGAGCCAGCCAGGCACCACTAGCATTTACTTATTTTTTAAAAATTCTTTCATACGAGGAAGGGACAGAAATGCTTAATGAAACTGTGATGGCCAGTTTGCTTGTTTATACCCCTCCCTTCCTTCCTTTTTTTTTTTTTTTAAGATTGTATTTATTTATTTGAGAGAGAGAATGGGAGAGAGGGAGAGCACATGAGAGGGGGGACGGTCGGGGGAGAAGCAGACTCCCTGCTGAGCAGGGAGCCCGATGCGGGACTCAATCCTGGGACTCCAGGATCATGACCTGAGCCAAAGGCAGTCGCTCAACCAACTGAGCCACCCAGGCACCCCTACCCCTCCCTTCCTTAAAAAATGTTTTAAAATAGTTTTGTTTTCAAAATATAATACCATTTTATTCTCAGATTAATGTGGTGTCCTAGAGTAGAGGGGAGGCCTTACCTTTGTTTGCAGATAGAGCGACCTGATCACCGTGTAAATTCTTGCTCATGGGTAAGTTTCCAGTGGGGCTGAGGCCCCAGGTATTTTAACTGTGAGTCTGGTTCTCTGCAGTAGCCCTTTTAACCCCATTTTTAGTACTGATGGGCATCCCATCATGTGCTCATTTGTTGAGCATGTGTGACTTTCAAAAGGCTCTGTTAGCCTGTCGAATTCCATGATGAATTAGATAGCTATGCTTTCATTCTGAGCATGTAACTAGAAGCATGCTGACTACTGGATGGAGTTTTGAGGGTTTCAGGAACGTACATTGGGTTGTTCTTAATATCATCTGAATAGGAGGTGGCAGTTCAAGGAAGGTTCCTCTCATTTAAGCTGAGATCTTGTTCATGAATTTCCAAAATGACCACAGAGGCCAATTTGGTAGCCTGACCATTTTGGTCATATGCAGGGATAATCTCAATGGCTGGTTGGAGCTAAGTGGTGTACAGGCTCCTTTTTTTGGAAATGTATATGATAACCAGTCACGAAAAGTTGGAAATGCATATCTGTCCCAAGTATCCCTGAAAATTTCTGTAGTTATCACATTACAAAGGGTTCAATGGAATCAAAGATCTTTGGACTATAAGACTAATAAACTATCTCAGGAATCCCTTGCTTTTTTTACCCCTGGTATTTTGGGAGGCTAAAATAAACCTCATTTCCAGTATTTAATTGTTTGTTTACTACCTATTTGAAGGAAATATCATTTTGTCTCAGAACAATGGGGGCTGTGGTCACAAGAGAGTGGTGAGTTAACACAGGGAGTTGGGAATCGACCCAGTTTGGCTCAGAGTTTATGCATTTCTGAATGCAGGTGAAAAGGAAAGCTTCATTGCAGAAAATTCAGGAGAACTGGAAATGGAAAATTGAAACATTAAAACAAAATAGAGCCCATTTTGAACATGCTCCATGAGTTGATATAGAACCGTTAGTCAAGAAGGTGTTAAATGCAAAGATGTCTACCCTAGTTCATAGATTCCTTATCCTTCATTGGCTGTTAATTTCTGTTTTTTTTTTTTTTTTTTTTTTTTTTAGATTTATTCACTTATTTGAGGTGGGGGGGAGGGACAAAGGGAGAGGGAGAAGGAGAAAAGCAGACACCCTGTTGAGCGTGGAGCCTGATGCTGGGTTCTATCCCACACCCCTGAGATCATGACCTGAGCTGAAATTAAGAGATGAGGCTCAACACACTGAGCCACCCAAGTGCCCCATTGGGTTTTAGATAATTCAAGGACAAGCGTTTAGGATATATGGAGCAAGTTGATACATACATATCATTGGTCATTGCCTCCCCACACCCATGGCAGTTACAGCCGAGCAATCACGGCACATTTTCCCACCAAAGGCATTGGTTTACAAAATTATTTGTAATGTATTGGAATTGGCACATGAAATGAAACCCTTATACTATTTATCACACAGGACATTGTTTTTTCTATTGATGTGGTCTAGATTTTACCCATATTCAGTTAACTTAAAAACAAATGATTGCCTTATCTTAGTAGAAGAGTTAATATTTGCAGGTTCAGGTGAAGAAATAGATTCTATAAATACATTTACAGCCTATACTAATTTTATCCATAGATGAGTTGGGGGTGTGCACCTGAATTTGTCTCTTGCATCTGAATCAGGGCCAATCTCTAAGTTCTGTTAGCAGAAGTATGTAATTAAGGTAAAGGGATTTGAACCGGCCAGCCAGTCCAAAATTAGCTCTTGCGTTGATGTTCCCCAGGTGCAAGGGCACCCATGCCTGGTCCTTTCACCTTTAATGCACTTGATTTCTTTTCTCTAAGGCGTATGCATGTCTTACCAGGATTGCAGCAAGTTTGGTTCTGGCTCAGATTGGGAAACTGAGATTGTTTTCTCCTGTGGTTCATTAATCACATTTGAAACGTCATTTGGAACCTTAGAAGCTTGTTTAAATATTCTTCTAAGGATAAGTGTCACATTACTTACATTTAGCTATGGTAGTCCAACAAGCTGTGTTTTTTTTTTTTTTTTTTTTCCAAGCTGTTTTTGGGCTGATACTTTGAAAATTATGTTGTATTTGCTTTTAAGTGAAGGTAGGCAGTACAATCAAGGAAGGGTTTTTAAGTTTATGTGTCCAGGAATATTCCTGGACGTATTGTACGGCTACAGATTCCACTGTGGCGACTTTGGGGGTGGGGTTCTTGGACTCTCTGCCCTCACTGGTGTGTACCTTGGGCCAGTTTTGCAAGCTGTCTTGTGCTTTAGTACCCTGAATAAAATGGAGACAATAGCAGTACCTCTTTGATAAAGTTGTTATGAGGATTAAATTGAATGACACAGAAGAGGTGAGTAAATCAATTGGCACATGAAGCTTAAGATGTAAGCAATTATTCCATAGAGATGGGATGGCAGGGCAGGGACGAGGGTGAGACTGGTGAGGCACTTGCCTTGGGCACAAAATTTAAGGGGCACTCACAACCTCAGTAATCAAAGTAAAAAACAGTTTAATGCAATATTTAGAAAGTGAAAATCCATGAAAAGTATTCATGATGGAGAAAATACCAACTTTGTTTTTTATTATTTTTAAAATTTTTTTATTTTTCTTTTTTTTAAGATTTAATTTATTTATTTGAGACAGTTACAGAGAGAGAGAGAGCACAAGCAAGGGGCAGGGACAGAGGGAGAGGGAGAAGCAGGCTCCCCACTGAGCAGGGAGCCGGATGTGATGCGGGACTTGATCTTAGGACCCTGAGATCAGGACCGGAGCTGAAGGCAGAGGCTTAACTGACTGAGCCACCCAGGTGCCCCTCAATTTTATTTTTTAATTAAATTTTTATTTTTTCACAATATCAACTATGTGATTCACTCCGGAGCCAACCCTGCACCTGTGTGGCCCCAGCTCAGTGCTATCACTCTACTCCCAGTCCTGGCCATCACTCCGGTCAGCCAGGGCTGCGGCCTTGGCGGCTTTTTCAGGAATGGCCATTAGTTTGTGCTGACCAGTTCCTCTTGAGTCACCAGCACATACTTTCAGGATGACTCTCTGGAGCCAGAGGTGCAGCTGAATCCTGGAATATTGCTGAGCTCACAGTTTGTAAGGAGACTGATTGTATATCCTTGGTCTCACAGCCTGGTGCTCGAACTGTCTGAGCTATGCAGTGCCAGACCCTGGAGTAACTGGCATGTCCTAGTAACGTATAAGCTATTCCCTTACGAAGAACTCCTTTGGACACCGTATCAAATTTATCAGGTTAGCCCTTCTTTATAGACAGGTGAGGTACAGTTCCCGGTTCCTAATGCTGACTTGCACTCTGGAAACAAAATGAGGAATAGGGGAAGAGAAAGAATATTCCAGAAGAGACATCAGTTTTTGCTCAGATTTCTCTGTTTTTTTTTTTTTTAATTTTTTTTTAAAGATTTTATTTATTTATTTGAGAGAGAGAATGAGATAGAGAGAGCATGAGAGGGGGGAGGGTCAGAGGGAGAAGCAGACTCCCTGCCAAGCAGGGAGCCCGATGCGGGACTCGATCCCAGGACTCCAGGATCATGACCTGAGCTGAAGGCAGTCGCTTAACCAACTGAGCCACCCAGGCACCCGGAATGTGATCTCTTAAAGATAGAAATACTATGGCCCTAAGAGAAGTTGGAGTAGCAGCAGAGGCTTGTAGGCTGAGGTTTGCCTTGTTTGATAAAGTGCTGTAAAAAGAATTGGATTGGGCTTAATGTTCAATTCTTATTTATTGTTGCAGAGATCTTGAGATCTCTGTGTATCTCTGTGGCAAAAAACTGGCTGTTCTCTCTAACTTGACTCCTTTTTCTGGAATTAAAAAAAAAAAAGATTGAGCGAGTCAAATGGATATCTGGGCTCTGAGTGAAGAAAGAGGTGCTTCCTGGATCCTTAAAATCACTGCCGTGTGAATGCGGAAGTGTAGAGCAGAGTCACCCATGTTGTCTGATTTCACATTACACTTAAAGTGAAGAAACTGAGTACCTAGGTGGGGTGGAGGATAGGATCCCTGAGTTATAAGGATTTGGGGGGTGATAGGAGAGAAGTCAGATGACCTGCGGTAGGGGATGAGTTAGCTTCCGTCCTCTAGCTCTCTCTTGTAAGCATTCTAGGCTCTGGGAGATTCAGCACTGAGTAGAACAGAGAGTGTCCCTCCTCTTATGGGAAAGCAGCAGCAGGTTGTGAGGATTAAGAGCATGGATTCTAGAGCCACACACTTCCAGATTTGAATCCCAGCTTTACCACTGAGTAGCTGTGTGTCTTGGGTGAATTACTTAACCTCTCTGTGCTTTAGTATTCTCATATTTAAGATGAGCATAATACTATTACCCACCAAGTTGGGTTGTTGTGAGATCCAGGGTACTTAGAAATATAACCTAGTAAGTCCAATACACAATATAAGCCCCAGTTCTTATGAATACTATTATTATAGACCTTATACTCTTATGTGCACTCATATGCCAGGTGATAGGCCTGTTAATGAATGCAGACAAAAATAACTGGAAGTGCAACAGGGGATCATGGGATGCAGTCCTAGATAGGCTGGTCAAGAAGGCCTCCTGGAGAACTTGATCTTTGAGATGGGACCTGGATCCCAAGGACTGTGCCTCATGATGATCTAGGGAACAGAGGGAACCCACAAAGACCCTGAGGTGGAAAAGACCTCTAGTGAGTTTGAGGAAGAGCTAGGAGACTGTGGTGGCCCCAGTGACACACTGATGGGCAATGGCTTGAAGACCAGGCAGCAGCCAGATCATGTAGGGTTTTGTAGACTTTGCAGGTGGACTTGGATTTCATTGTTAAGCATAGTGGTTCCTCAAATGAGCAGTGATACAGTCTGGTTTTGAAAAGGCTACTCTGGAACCTCTCTACCTGTGTGTCCTCTCAGGATGAAGTCATGTGGAGTGCCTACAGGTTGAGGGCGATGATGACCCTGGAAGTAGTGTTGACAGCCTTCCAAGTATACCATTTGGGGGGGGGGTGAGGTTTGGGCGGCCACAGGGTTTATGAAGAACCTCTGATCTCCTTTCCCATGCTGAGATGCACAGATTAAACGAAAGGAAACCCTATAATGCCACTGTCACTGATAGATAGGTATTGAGCCTAAGGTTAAGTGCTTGAATTCACATTTTGGTTTCCTGGAATTAGAATTTGAAAGATTGCCTCCTGGAGTGGTTTCCATTTCTTGTTAACTTGAAACAGTCAACCGATTTCTGCTTCAAAATACCTGTGAGGGATACCACTGAGAATGGAGGTGGTGTTTGAGGATGCCTCCTGCCTTTGTTTCTTTTGAACAAAGCAAGTGTAAACGTGTGTGATTTGAATTAGGGCAGGGAATAAAGCTTCTACTAATTGAGGATCTTGCTGCACAACTTGTAATGCATCTTCACGGTTTACCTGTCCTCTAAGCTGAGTATGTTTTGATTGATTTTTGCACGTAATTGAGTTTGGCTCAAAAGAGTAACAAAGTCAAATGAAAGAGTAATTAATTTTTGAACATGGTCAAAATTTTTTACCAGCAATAAATTGCTGATGAGAAAGGTCTTTTACATAAATTTTGCATGACCCACCACCCTGCCCTGACTGTTTAAAAAGAAGTCAGGTACAATAAATTCCATCATTTGAAGGTGTTGGTGATGATTTACTTTAATTGTGAATATTTAATTGTGACTATCTTATAATATCCTCTAGTGTCACATATGGGCTGGCTGGGGAGGGGCATACAGAGATACTGTTGAGTTTACCAAATGTTTCTGGCTTCATAGCACTCAGAATGGAACTATGATGAAGCGCTTGCAAAGGGCAAGTGTGAAGGCACCGGGATAGGAAGCAGCCATAAATAAAGGCTGCTCTTTGGGATAGAGACCCTCTCCATCATTCAGCAGCTCGAGTTCAGCCTGACACTTGTTTCTCCTTAATTCCAGCCTAAAAATATAATTTGAAGTTTCTTGTATTAATACATGGTGGCCACTGCCACCATCCTCTGGAAACGTTTAAAACGAGGAAGAATGTGCCAAGTAAGGGTATCCAAGGGCTTGATTCAGTCACGGAAGAGCTCAGACTCAGGAGAGTCAACATCTGTCAGTTACGACTTAATTTTAGTCCCAGTCTAAGTGACATCTGAAAACAGATGCAGAAACAGAGAGAAATCAATGCAAAGCTTTTGGTGATGTAAAAACCATCTTCCTATTCAGACTCGGGTAATAAGGCATTCTAGAGAAGTGTTGGATTCTATTTTATGCTGTACGTAAAATGTAATGTGTTTATATGAGGGTTGGAGATGAGAGGCCATTTTGTGGTCTAAACTGCTTTTTCATTTAGAACCAGCTTTTGCTCCAGAAAGAGAGAGATGTGATTTTGGAAATTTGCCTTTGGGCACTGATGTGTTTGCTGAGTCAAGTTCTGAATTTTTAGAATGAAAATCACCATAGCTGTGAGTTGAAAGTGAGGCAGCAGGAGCATTTCAATCATTTTTGGATCAAGAAAAAAAAAATCAGCATTGACATTTCTCATAGTTAACCTTTTCTTGATTATAGATACGTCTCTTTTTACCTTAGCAACATAACATGAGTGATTTGTATAAGTTTTTGCAACTGTACAAAAATACCTGCCTATGATGCTGCGTTAATTTGTCACTGTCTGAGCTTGGCCACAGGATTTGCAAGATTTGATGATTTCAGAGTTTACAGTCTCCATGATGTAGTGATTCCTGGTATCTTGTCCTGTTTTCTTCCACTGTCAGGGTTGGTCTGTAATGGTAGGTCACTTCCAAGATTACATTATAAAAATTTGCCTTCCATCCTGGGCATTCTTTCTCTTGGATTCCTCATTCTGGGGAAATCCACTGTGAGCAGACCAATGGAGAGGCCCATGTAGTAAGGAACTGATGCCCCCTGCCAATAGCCACGTGAGTGAGCTTGGAAGTATATCCTCCAGACCTAGTCATGTTGCAGATGACTGCAGTCATCTAAGTAACCCATTAACTGTGAGATAATAAATGTTTGTTGTTGTTTGAAGTCAGTAACCTTGGGGCAATTTGTTACACAGCAATAGGTAGCTAATACAAACTGATAACATTAAATTGGTTAACTTATGTGCCCTTCATCTACCCATCCATCCACCCACCCATTCCCCTATCCACTAATGCACCTATCTACCCACTTCATCCATCCATCCCTACATCCATCCATCCCACTCTTTATGCTTTCAACAAATGTTTGAGGACCTGTTTTGTCCTAGGCACTGTGCCGGTGATGAGGATGCTAAGATGAATGCCACAACTGATGTTTTCAAGGAACAAAATACCTAGTTTTCTCCAGCAAAACTGTAGTTGAATGCTACGTTGCCACTTTCCTAAGATTAAATTTGAGTTTTATTTTTATTTTACTTATTTTTTTAAATTTGAGTTTTAAAAGTAAACATTTAAAGAAAGTTCTTATTTTTCTGTATCCTTCTTTAGTGTTCTTTTTGCTAATTCAGAACAGGGAACAATAAACATCAATTTAAATCACATTTGGTTTACACTATAAAAATGGATTTTAGGTGAAATTGATGCAAAATGTATTTTATGGCACAGTATTTATAAGTTGTATAATGGTTTAAGTGGATTCTTCACATTCATTGTATATAATTTTCCCCTGATTATATTAATTGGTCCATAAGTAAAAAAGTTCTGAGCAATTTGAGAAAGAAAATCTGATTTTGAACCAAATCAAAACATAATAGTAAATACTAATATTGATAGAGCACCTTCTCTATGCAGCTTCTGTAGTAAGCAATTTATGGACATTTCTTCTATTAATGCTCACAGGGAGTTATAATTATTATCCCTATTTCATGGGTAATGAAACTAAGGTTTAGAACAGTGAATTAGTGCAAAATCCAAAAGTCGGTAAGAGTTGAAGTTGAGTTTCAAACCCAGATCTTAAGATCTTACTGTGCTTTACATAAATGTATATATGCTTGTGTATTGATAGACAATATCATGCTAAATGTTTCAGGAGTTTACAGTTTTCCCAGGATACACTCAGTTGTAATGTTTGCTATGTGTCAACAGAGCCCTTTAAAGCATGGTTTGGCCAAATTTGTATCAAAGTATCATGGGGACTGCAACAATCCAAACTACCTATCTGTCTGTCTGTCTGTCTGTCTGTCCATCTACTTATTTACTTCCTTACAGTCACAACTTTAAATGGAGTATCTTATCATATCCTGTGCAACCCAAAGGAACTTTCTGGTTCTTTCTTTATTAAGGTGCTGCAGTTGGGGGAAAAAGAGAGAGAGAGAGAATACTAGATTAGAGGTCTCCTGAAGATTTACTTCTTCTATTGAATTTCCATCACTGTTAGGACAAGGAGCAGAGATGAGTGGACTAATGTCATCTGGGAAAGGACAAGTCCCCTTACCTATTTTCTTCAAAAAGCTGTATTCACATACTTAATAAATAAATGTTGACTGTTAATAGTTGAGTAGAGGGTCACTTTTCTTGATTTTTTTCCCTTCCTCTTCATCATCGCTGTCATCATTGGCATCCTGTGTCACCCAATCTGAACCTTTCAGAGGTTTCATAATTATTTTAGCAAGAAAACATGAGATTTCAGGTTGAACAGAAACTTTAAATAAAAATTAGAGAACGAAATGGTTCCAGCCAAGTGAAGGTCAGATGGTGCTAACTGCCTGGGAAGTTACGTAATAGAAACTGAGTTAAAAGGAATACCTACTTAATTAATTCATTTACAAGTTAAATAAAAGCAGGAACAAATGTGTACATCAAATGCATAATGACATACACATAGGGTAATGGAATGTTACTGCACCCAAAAATGTTTATAATTGCCAGCAAAATTTCATCTTTTGGTGAATTTCTTTCTCAAGTATGTATATTCCCTGTTGCTTTTTGCCATAGTTAATCATTTGAACTTAAAACAATGGCATCAACCTTTCTTTTAATGATTTTCTCTCTTAAACTTCTTTGCTGCCCTTGTGCGCGCTCCTCCTATCTGATGCCTTCTGTCCCTGTCAGTTTTCCAAATGAGGGGTGGGGACTGCTGTGCCGTGTGATGTGGCAGAATTAGGGACTGCTTAGGCTGCACAGAGAGAGCGCATGAGCCTCAGAAAGCCTCAAATAACTTCCTCTCTTCCCCCAGAATCAGCCTTTTCCCAGCTGCTAGCCCTCTCATCCCCTGGATAGAGTCTTTTCCCACTTGCCCTTGGATTTCCTTCTGCTCCTTCATGCTGGGTGTAGCATGATGGATTGTGCCTAGAGGAAACTATATTGAGCTTGGGGCAGAGCAGGGTAAGAAGTTTGCTCTTTAGGAAAAAGAAATCCAAACCATTCCCCCCTCTTTGGTCATTTGGTATGGGGGTGAAGGGAAGCTGGAGTAGGGCACGGAGCTGGTTAAAGCCCAAGGAAGGACATCAGGCAAGAAGCTGGGTTGGCTTCCTTCCAGCAGGATGCAGGAAGGCCTTTGTGTCTTATAGAAGAGATGGTAGGCCTGCGTCTCCTTCACGAATCTTTGTGGATGATGACAGAGCTTCTGTGAGTCGTCTCATTGTTCATGGTTGGGTTCCTTTGAATTGCATGAAAACGGGTGCTTGCCTTGGATGCAAATTTTGTTTCCTCCCTGGGTGAAGGGTCTCAGATAGTAGAGTATGTTGGCCACCAGCTCAGAATGACTGCCAGGGACTGCTGAAAGTAGAAATTTTAGAAGGAGAATGCTGAGTGAGGCCTCAAGTGCTTCAGGGAACGTTTCAAGTTGGATCCTTTTGAAATGAGATGGTCTTCTGGGATGATGATGTGTTATGAGAGGTGCCAGGATTTGTTTTCCTCAGATTCTACACCATTTAAAACCATAAGCCACAGGCCCTAAAGGAATGAAGCACAATTCTACCTTGGACTCACCTTCTTCAAGGCTCTGACACTTAGTGGGCCTTCTCAATAATGATTCAGAGCAGTTCATAGTTCAGGGAATTATATTTAACAGAACTGGTCTATCTATAATTCTGGAATGCAGCTGATCCCGAAGCACTTTTGAGGCAAATATTCATTATGCTTTGACGATTCTCTTGGTGGCAAAGCCATGACCATTGAAATTGAAACTCGTTATGTCAGGTCGCTCTTGCTGTCAGTATGCTGCGTAACAAACTGCCCCCCAAACTTGCCGCCTACAACAAGGATGTCCTCTCAGTCACAGGTTTGTAGGGTGGCTTTATGTCAGGCTGTGGGTTGGTTGGTCTTGTCTCTGGAGTATGGGATTTGAGTTGGGGTTGGAGTTGGGTTTGTTCTGTTTATTTCCTCTTTCTTCTCTGACTAGCAGCTACTCTGACATATTCTTCTCATGGTGAGTCACTGGAGTGTTAAGAGGCCAAGCCACACTGCAAAAGCACACTTGAAGTCTCTGCTTGCGTCATGTCACACCTGGGAACGTTCTGTTGGCCAAAGCAGATTGCATGGCCAAACCCAACATTTATGGTGCAGGCAAGTATGCTCTACCCAGATTGGAAGAAACTGCAAAGTTACAAGGCAGAGAGCGTGGATCTATAATTTTGATACAGGGACAACATGCATCATGAGCAATGGTTCAGTCTACCATACTGTATTAAGCTTTCCTGGTTTTTCCCTCCTTCCCTCCCTCCCTTCTTCCCTCCCTCTCTCGTTCCCTTCCTCCTTCCCTTGCTCCCTCTCTCCCTCTCCTTCTCTTCTCTTCTCTTTCATGATAAAATATACATAATGTAAAAAAAGCCATTTCTACCATTTCTAAATGTGTAGCTCTTTCTGTGACATTAACTTCATGCACATTGTGATCTAGCCATCACCATTAGCCATCCCCAGAACTTTTTCCGTTTTCTAAACTGAAACTCTGTACTCATTAATACTGACTCCCTGTCCCCCTCCCCCAGCTCCTGGCAACTGCCATTCTACTCTGTGTGTCTATGAACTTGACTACCCTAGGTACCTCTTTCAGTAGAATTGTACAGTAGTTATCCTCTTGTAACTGGCTCATTTCACTTAGCACAATGTCTTCAAGATTGGTCCTTGTTGTAGCACGTGTCAAAATTTCTTAGCTCTGTAGGATTGAATAACATATTCCATTATATGTATACATTGCATTTTGTTTATCTGCTCATCCATTGATGAATACTTGGGTTATTTCTACTTTCCTGATTCTTTGTTGCTGAGTTTTCATGTTCCCTGTGGCTGGAGCAATATGACTTTGTCAAATAATCTTTTTCAATCCAGATCCTGGGTCCAACCTTGTCCATTCATTTACTCATTAATTCAATGGATACTTGTTAAGCACCTACTATGTAACAGGAGCTGTTGTAAAGGAACCTGAAATCTCTCAATACTTAGAGTTGTGCTGTCCTATTTGGTAGCCAATAGTTACATGTGGCTATTTAAATAATTAAAGTGAAATAAAAATTAAAAATGCAGTTTCTCAATTGCAGTAGCTGCATTTCAGGTGATTGATAGCGACATGTGGCTGGTGGCTATTGTATTGGGCAGCACTGACTTCGAGAGTATAGGGAAGGCTGTGTGGCGGTGATTGAGTGACAACTTTCTCTTTCCAGAAACCCCTCTTAAACCACAAGACTAGGAACGGGTCACTTTGTGAGTGCAGGCTTGCCGCAGTTTACTTGTCCATGTTTGTGCAACAAGCCAGCCGACCGGTGGTGTTGTTCAGCACGTAGCGAGGGTAAATCAAACAAGTGATGGAGCTTTTCTAGGTCAGTGGCACTTTTACCTCCAGGAGGCATTTGACAGTGTCTGGAGGTAGTTTTGATTGTAACAGCTTGGGGAGAGAGGGAGGTGTTACTGGCATCTCATCTAGTGGGTAGAGGCTGGGGATGCTACTAAACATTCTACAATGCACAGGACCGTCCCTCTCCCAACCCCAAACAAATAACTGTATGGTCCCACATGCTAATGATTGGAACTTTTAGATGGGTTCCTGCTCCTGGTAAAATGGTTACAGATGAGGGCTGGGAACTGAGAGCTATGGCCTCCAGGATTCAGAAGAAGCTGGTGTGCAGTGAGAGAAAACAAAATACAGAAATGAAGAGATTCCCGACCCTTGTCCCCGAGACCAACCTCTTCCATTTGCTTGGGTTTGGTGAAGGACCTCCGTTTTATAAAACTTTACTCTTTCACTTGAATCATTTTGAAATGGGATTAGCCTTTTGCTAAATGTTCCTAATACAGCAAATTATTTAGTAATTCCTTCTTTTAGTTCTTCTAGTTATATCGCGTGTAAACTGGGGATTACGTTCAGAGCAGTCCTATGAAATGTCTAACACACACGAGTCGTGTCCTGACAGCAAGCTCACAGAGATGTTAGGACTCAACTCCAAATAGACTGGAACCTTCCCTGTGAATCAAATATTTTTTCGAATAAGCAGTGGAGCTTCTTCATATTTTACTGGTGGCCTCTTGGCTGGTGATGATCTTAGTCCTGCATATTGTTTGTGGAAACCAAAGGGCTTCAGTAGAATGCCTTTTCAAAATCTTTTTTTTTTTTTTTAAGATTTTATTTATTTATTTAAGAGAGAGAACACATGTGCACAGGGTGGGGGAGGAGCAGAGGGAGAGGGAGAGAAGAGTCTTAAGCAGACTCTGCACTGGTTGTGGAGCCCAGCACGGGGCTCGATCTCAGGACAGGGAGATCATGACCTGAGCTGAAACCGAGACTCGCCCACTCAACCGAATGTGCCATGCAGGTGCCGCTGCCTTTCCAAAATCTTATCTCAGCATGCAGAGACAGCATCTGAGAGTTTTCTGCATTGCATCACATGTAGGGACTGAAAGCTGTCTGTGTACTTTCAGGAAGCCTGTGATTTTAAACAAGAGTGCGTTTTAATCACTTGGAAACTGTATGAATTGCATGATTTCCAAAAATCAAAATAGCTCGAGACTTTGATTTTATCACTCAAGAAATCCTTGAAGAATGTCAATGGGAGTGACACAGCCTTGTCCTGGAGATTTTCATCAAGAGGAGTTAATGCATACCCATATGAACTTTAAAGTCCTATGTAAGTGTAAAGCATTTCAGGATATGCTGCTAATTGTCACATCCCCCAAGGAAATAATTCAGCATAAATTCACAAACAGTACAATAAATATACTGTGAAAGCAAACCAAAAAATGCTATTTCAGTGGTCTGATTTAGAATATCCATGGTGGCTATGAAAACAAAATGTGTATAAAGAAATAAAACGTTTGTCTTAAAAAAAAAGAATATTCATATTTACTTTCATTTAAAGTGAAGAAGGAATAGAGATGAATAAAAAATTTAGACAGTAAAAAGTGTATAGAGTGGAAAGTCTCTGATCTCCTGAATTCTCCAGTTCTCCCAGATGCAACCACCTTTAGTGGTTTCTTTTTTTTTTTTAAGATTTTATTTATTTGAGAGAGAGAGAAGGAATGAGAGCAAATGGTGGGGAGAGATAGAGAAGGAAGGAGAGAATCTTAAGCAGACTCCACGCTGAGCATGGAACCCAGTGCGGGACTTGATCTCACAACTCTGAGATAATGACCCAGCAGAAATCAAGAGTTGGATGCTGCACCGACTGAGCCATCCAGGCGCCCCAATGGTTTCTTGTTCTAGAAATTGTTTATACTATATAAGCATATTCCTTTTCCTCTTCTGTTGTTCTCCCTCCTTTAAAAAAAACTGTGTACAAGAAAACATATAGAGAACAGAATGTGTGTGCATGTGTGTATGATATTATGTATTTATAATATATGGCACATATGTGTACACACACACGTATATACTGTATGTATTTTTTGATGATATGTATATATCAGTTTCTGCTCCTTGTTATTTACAACTGATATTTGCAACTCTCTTTTGGAGTTCTTTTTATGTTAGTGCTGAGATTGGCTTCATGCTTTTCAGCGACTTGGAGTTTGCCTTCTTGTCAGTGTTCCATACATAATTTATTTAACTGGTCCCCTGCTGATGAACATTAAGGTTCTTTCCAGCCTTTTGTTTTTACAAATCATGCTGCAGTGAGTAAGATATCCTTCCTTGTACCTTGATCTTTATGTACATATAATTGTATTTATAAAATAAAGTCCCAATAGTTTTCTAGTTCAAAAGGTAGACACATTTTATGTCTTTATTATATATGGCCAAATTGCCCTTCCAAAAAGATGCACCATTTTCTACTTTTACCACCTGCATATGGACATGCCTAAAATTTCATCCCCTTCTTTCTTCACCATCCTTTCCTTCCTATTTCTCTCTCCAACTTCCCTTCCTACCCTCAGACCCAGTCTAGCAGTTGGGACACCTTCGAGGGGAAGGGCATACTTGTGATCCAAGTATGTAGATCACAAATTGCAGGAGCCTTCTTGAAAGACACAAACCTGACCCCCTTGTGAGCACTGAGGCGAATTTCCTCCCTGGTAGGGGTTTGCAGTGCCGGACATGGGTTCCCCTTTGCCCCCTTTAGCTGATGGCCCAGCCTCATCTCGGTGAATTCCTCTTTCTCGTTCATTCCCTGGGAGGCTTTTAAGAGCTGGTCCTCATCTCTAGCGCCCGAGAAATCCATATCTGTTCACTTGTCTTGGGTGCTTGCCAGTACTTAGCGATAGGCATGGCTGTCCCCTGCATTCTTGCCATTTCAGAAGAAGTGGTATCTGTTTGCAAAGTACAGTGTCAAGCAACGGTTTCCAGATGACTGCTTGAGTCTGGCATTTCCATTAACACTTTCAATCGGGAGATGGTTTCTCTAGCTCAGCTGGCAGGGGACCCAGGTTTTCATCCCACTTGCTCTCCTGTATCTTTCCCAGCCTTTGACCCCAGCTGGGTTCACCCCTAACTTGATTCTGTGTGCTGTGGAGTTTAACTGGAACACTTAAAAAAAAAAAATCTTTTCACCATGGCATTGTTGACAAATCCTCTCTAGTGCTCTTCTATTTTTGAGCAGGAAATGACATTCTGGGCTCTTCCTTGCTCTCCTCCCAACGTTTTATTATAAAACTTTTAAACAGCACAGTTAAAAGAATTTTATCATGAACACCTGTATGCACGCTAATAGATTTTGCCATCAACATTTTACTGTACTCGATTTATTGCATAGCTGTCCTGGTATTCATAATTTGGGGCTCTTTTTGTGATGACTTGTGATAACTCTCTGGCTCTTCGGGGCATCCCCAGCATGGCTTGTTAGGAGTCTGACAGCGAGAGGACCCAGAATTGGAAATGCTAATGGCAAGGAGAGTATTTTAACAAGATATAAAACAATAGCAGGGTATTCTTTCTTCTGCAAGACTAACCTTTAGTAGCTCAAGATCACACCAAAGTGACAAAAGCTTAAGTGCTGGTACCTGTTCCCAGAGTTCCGATGAAGGCTTTTTCCTGACCACGAAATCTCTGCCACCTCATACGATCTTGGAATTTCTCCATCTTGTGATTAAGAGAAAGAGCAGGGGCACCTGGGTGGCTCAGTCAGTTGAGCATCAGACTCTTGATTTCAGCTCAGGTCATGATCTCGGGGTCCTGTCATCCAGCCCTGCATCAGGCTCCATGCTCAGCTTGATTCTCTCTCCCTCTCCCTCTGCCCTCCCCACCCCCGCTCTCATGCGCTCTCTCTCTCTCTCTAAAATAAATAAATCTTTTTTAAAAGAGAGAGAGAAAGGAACACCTGGGTGGCTCAGTCGGTTAAGTGCCTATCTTCAGCTCCAGTCATGATCCCAGAGTCCTGGGATCGAGTCCCACATCAGGCTCCTTGCTCAGCGGGGAGCCTGCTTTTCCTGCCTCTCCCCCTGCTTGTGCTCACTCTCTCTCTCTCTGACAAATAAAAAAAACTTAAAAAAAAGAGAGAGAGAGAGAAAGGGCAAAGCCAGGAGTTTATGACCATTGAAGTACAATAGATTTGTGATTAAATCCCATTGCTGCCACATACGAAGCTTCAGTTTACTCATCTGCAAATAGGAATAATCTCCTTAGGTTTTTTTGAGAATCAAATGAGGCAATACACATAAAGTGTCTGGCACATAGTTGCTTCTCCCTAAAATCCATGAAATCTATTACTTTTAAAAATAAAAATATTTTGGGGAGCCTGGGTGGCTCAGTCGGTTGGGCATCTGCCTTTGGATCTGGTCATGGTTTGGGATCCTGGGATAGAGCCTGGCATAGGACTTCCTGCTCAGTGGGGAGTCTGCTTCTCCCTCTCCCTCTGTCCCCAATTGTGCTCTCTCTCTCTCTGTAATAAAATCTTTAAAAAAAATAAAAATATTTGTAAAAATCCATGAAATTGAAATGGATTAAAAGTCCATGAAATTGAGCACTTTATGGCATGTACCAAATGCTTAATATGTTGTGGCCTCTGTTCTAAATGCTGTCCATGTACTAATTCATTTCATCTCACAAAAGTTTATGAAGGCAGCACTACTATCATTTCCTTCTTACAGATGAGTATACTGAGGCACAGAGAGGTTTAGGAGCTTGCCCAAGGTCACAGGGTTAGTAAAAAGCAATGCCAGGCTTGCAGCCCAGGCTCAATGACAGGACCCCGAGATCATGACCTGAGCTGAAATCAAGAGTCTGATGCTCAACCGACTGAGCCACCCAGGTGTTCCTTTCTCTCTCTCTTTTAAAAAAGATTTATTTATTTTAGAGAGAGAGAGAGAGAGAGAGCGCATGAGAGCGGGGGTGGGGAGGGCAGAGGGAGAGGGAGAGAGAATCAAGCTGAGCATGGAGCCTTGATGCAGGGCTGGATGACAGGACCCCGAGATCATGACCTGAGCTGAAATCAAGAGTCTGATGCTCAACCGACTGAGCCACCCAGGTGCCCCTGCTCTTTCTCTTAATCACAAGATGGAGAAATTCCAGGATCGTATGAGGTGGCAGAGATTTCGTGGTCAGGAAAAAGCCTTCATCGGAACTCTGGGAACAGGTACCAGCACTTAAGCTTTTGTCACTTTGGTGTGATCTTGAGCTACTGAAGGTTAGTCTTGCAGAAGAAAGAATACCCTGCTATTGTTTTATGTCTTGTTAAAATACTCTCCTTGCCATTAGCATTTCCAATTCTGGGTCTTCTCGCTGTCTGGAGTTCTGGGTGACCTCGCTGTATAGGAATCATCGGGGGGTTTTCCGGCAGTGCTATATCATTTATCAACTCATAGACATCTGGGATGCTAGAAGTTTCCCCTGGTCCGCTATTCAGAATCGTTTGTGAAGAGAAGGGCAGAAGATGGAAATCAATATGATTCCCGAGTCTTGAACAGACCTGGGTGTTTTGAGGAGAAGCCTTGCCCCAGTTGGTCCCGTGAGGTTGGAAGTTGTGACCCTGACAGCATCTGTGTGTCTGAGAAACAGTCCTCAGGAAGCTATGTTCTGCATGTACCTCAGGCAGCAAAGAAGATGGAAATAAATCCCTCAGCTTTTCTCTTCTCACTGGAGCTCCTGCCTCAATTCCAAGTCAGTCCTTTCCCCTTTTCCATGAGTTCCAGGTGCTGATGTGTCTTTAACTGCCCTGCACGTTTGCTAACCTCCCTTTCTAATTGAGAGGCCATAGTTTTTAATGACATTATTTTGCTTTCATTGTATTTGCTTTGGGAGTTACCTTATTCTTCTGGCAGCTGATTCTATGTCTGCTTAACAGAGGTGATATAAAGTTTCCATTTAAAATACATTTAATGACATACAGAAAAACTGCCTTTTTTTTTTTTAAAGCAAGATGGAATCGTACAATGAAAGGTTCTCAGATGTGGCAGAAGTCACAATGATGAAATAGAAATGATAGAGACTTTTTTTTTTTTTAAAGATTTATCTATTTGAGAGAGAGTGTGTGTGTGCGTGGGGTGTGGGGCGGGGTAGAGGCAGAAGGAGAAAGAGGATCCTCAAGCAGACACCCTCCTGAGTGCAGAGCCCTATGCAGGGGCTCCATCCCAGGACCATGAGATCATGACCTGAGCCGAGATCAAGAGTCGGATGCCCAACCGACTGAGCCACCCAGGTGCACCCCCCCCAGCCCCCCAGAGAGGCTTTTTTTAAACACACCAAATGACCTTCAAGGGCTGTCTGTCTAGTCTCCAGTGACAGTGGATGATCTGGACAGAGGGAACACTTATAAGGTCATTGCATCTGTGTGGAAGATGCTTGGAAAATCATGTATACCCTGCATTTATTTCTTGGCTAGGAAAAATAGACGCAGTAGGTTCAGGCCTCCTTGGAAGGTTTTAGAGCTAGGCTAATTATGCCTTGGGGCTTTGGCCAAGCATGTTTGTTTTCATGAAACCATCCTTGGTATCATCAGTAGCCAGAATAGATGAGTCGAATGCAGATGTTTCCAAATTCTCATTGAAAAAAAAATTTTTTTTTAATGTGGCTGGATATCTAAGAAATGGATACTATATATCTTTTAGATGGGGTGGCTTCAGAAGTCAGGAACATCAAAAAGGGGCATCCTTAGGGAGTGCCTAAAAGTGAATCCAGGAATAGCCTGAGGATCTGCATGATCCTAAGGGATTCTGTTTAAGGAGATTTAGGTGTGCATCTGCTCAAAAAATCTGTCTGAGTTAGCACTAAATAACCTTAAGTTTGGAAAGGTGGGAAGGTAAGGACAAGATTCTTACCTTTGAAAGACAACCAGGTAGATACTCACTGGTAAGAACTTGTTGGCAATTGATGGAGCCCTGAGAATGGGATCAAATGGTTGGGTGTATGGGGGGTGGGGTGGGGGGAGATTGGGAGATTTGTAGGAGTCTAAAGGGCAACTCCTTTCTTTGTATCTCTTGGTAAGAGAGGAGCCCCTGATTCATGCCCCTGCTCTATGAAGAGTTCTTCCCTTTGATTTATTCCCCAACACAGGGAGATGAGGCCCTTTTGGAATGCCAAGATGAGCCTGTCTTCCCTTTTTCTTACCCTTGTTCCTGGTGCTAGCATCCGATTTTGATAACAGGATGGAAGTGACTTCCTCCAGCAGTTAGGGGCTGAGGTCATCAGTTTGGTCAGCAGGTCATCAGTTTGGCTTCTCTCAAGTCCTGATGTTTTTTAGGTTTCCCCATAGATCTGTGACCGTAAGGTAATGATGGGGGGCAGAGGTACCCTGGGAGAGAGAGACAGAGTAGTAAAAGACACGGGCAGGGTGGTTACTAGGTTAATGGGGGGAAAATTGTATCTGTTTCTCGGTCTGCAAGGTGGTGTCTCATGGCTGCTTTGCAGGGATGTGATGTGAGAAGAGTTAATATGTTAACCATCTTAAAAGGACCAGACTCATGGAGTGGTTACATGTCAGGATTCAGTAATCCCACTGCCTTTCATTGGAAGCCTGGCTTAGCCATTTACTGGCCTGTGGTCTTGGTTTAAGTTTTATGAGCTATATTTGTCTAATACATGAAAAAATGTTGACCTTACATCAAGAGAGTTTCTTAAATACCTACTGTATGCCTGGCACTGTGCCCGATCTTGAGATAAATGGATGAAAAAAACAGGCAAAGCTCTCTGCCTTTATGGGATTCCCCCCCCCCCCCATTTAGGATTGTTGTGAGATTTAAATAAAATAGTGTATGAAAGAAAGCTTGGCATAGGCTCTTAAAATTATAAAGTAATTATTATGGAAAAGTTATGAAATGCCCATCCATTGGGCATCCATTGGGTTATCATTATTTAACTCTGGGAACAAACTACTTCATTATTTTATACACAGTATTTAAAAAAAACCATGGTATTCTTGTAACATTCTTTTTTTAGTCTGCTCATGAGATGAAACCTAACTTCTCTGCCCATTGTGTCATAACTTTTTTTTTTTTTTAGATTTTATTTATTTATTCGTGAGAGACAGAGAGAGAGACAGAGGCAGAGGGAGAAGCAGGCTCCCTGCGGAGCAGGGAGACGGATGCGGGACTCGATCCCAGGACCCTGGGATCATGACCTGAGCCGAAGGCAGACGCTTAACCGACTGAGCCACCCAGGTGTCCCGTGTCATAACTTTTTTTAAGATTATTTATTTATTCATTTGAGAGAGAGAGAGAGCGAGAGAGAGCAAGCATGAGTGGGGGGGGGGGGCAAAGGGAGAGGAAAAAGCAGACTTGCCGCTGAGCAGGGAGCCCGATGTGGGGCTCGATCCCAGGACCCTGGGAGCATGACATGAGCCGAAGGCAGACGCTTAACCGACTGAGCCACCCAGGCGTCCCGTGTCATGACTTTTTAATCAATATTTTGATGTAACAAAGCTCATCTTCCTCAACAACTGAGTTGGAAAGTACATTTGGGGTGTGTGTGTGTGTGTATGTGTAAAAATCCTGGGAAAACTTGAATGCACTTGACTGATACAGTTTAATATCCATGAGAACAAACAAGCTAAATATGCTTACTTCTTATCCTAAAACTACTGATATGAGAGAATTAATAGAAGAAAAACAACCTCTTGATGAGTATTATGCCAACCAAATCATGGAAACTGTCCCACTTGGAGAAATAATCTTTTCCAAATGATTTAGCTGATTGCTCAGGTGGTTCCCAAGCTTTTAGCTCCAACCAGGCAATTTGATGTAAGCTTCTTTCTCCTCAGCACAATAGAACATTCTTGATGTTTATCAGGCAGAAACTTTATTAAGGGAAGCCTGACAGGAAGGTTGAGGACAAGAGGAATGGAGTCTGTCTTTATAGGAAAGCTTGTTTTTTTTAAACACGTAAAATGACATGAACGGATATAGTTCCATGCTATCAGTTTGGCTCCTGACTATATTGGAAATGAGGATACCTGTTCTCCATAGAGTGCCTTTGAGGGGCTGTTACACTAGACCTTCCTGATCTCATTGGCATCTATAAAAGGGTTCCATTTTAATATTATTTCCCAAGATACTGAGGATCACTGGTATACAAAGGTATTTCTGCTGTGTTAGCCAGCCATGTAGAATGCACAAGATACTGTTCACAGGGGTTTTTTGTTTTGTTTTGTTTTTTTGGCTTTATTTTTTTGTTGTCAATTTACATAAGGAATGTTCAAGATCCACCTCACTTATTGAGTCCTGGCAGTGTATATTCACTTACGCACATTCAGTGTTGCTTAAGGAACTTGAGTTACAAATAACAATAGTAACATGTAGAAAGAATGGGTTGACTACCTGAATGAATTCAAAGAGGAAAGGGTAAGTGCAAGCTGGGTAAGTAGTACCAAGCTCAAGGTGACTTTACTGTTTATAGAATCGTGTCAAGTATTTTTTTTTTTTGACTGTACAGCGACCAGTTAGTTTCCTGTCTGTTTGTCCTACTTCTGATTCATCTCAGCAAGTGGAAATAGCCTGATGTAGGGATATACCAGAGGGAAACAGAAATACCCCTACCCCTCCTCGTCTGGAAGCACGGTGTCATGGAATTTCAAAAGGTTATCCTGGGATTATATGTTATTTCAAAGCTGAAGAGGAACCTGATTCACTTATTCACCCATTTCGTCTCCCACTATTTGTGTGTGTGCCATGTCCAGCTGGCCCATGCTCTTGCTGCCAAGCTTATAGCTTAGAGACGAAGTAGGGGAAGTCAGTAAGGGTGGTGGGTTATTAATAGACAAGGAAGGAATGCATGTAACTGGCAGATTTAAACTTCTTTCTCAGAATATTTTTCCTTGCAGTCACATAGGAGGAAGGATGGAAAATGAAATGGAAACCAAGGCGGGGAAATTATATCGAGAAGTGGGAGAACTGAAGTGGGGGAAGACTACCAAAAACCCATCTCTGCACAGTTCTACCCAAGGGCAATCTCGTGTATATTTGTGTGGACAGCGAGACCCGTAATTCTGGCTTCAAACCTGGGTGATTTTCTCCTCTGTGATTTCAGGGTAAAATATTGTAATTAAATCATGATTAGGTACTTTTTCGCTCCTTTGGAGTCATTCCATAGGACAGACCTCTTTTTTGTTTGGTGACCACAGGGACCAGTGACATCCTAATCTTCTTAGAATTGTTTGTACTTATCAGTTTGTTAGAAACCACTTTAAAGACAGATGTCTGCCCACCCTTCCCCCAGCTCTCTTCTCGAGAGATGTCAGACCCCTCATGAGGAATCTGTGAAATGTGAACTATGACTTGGTTATATGAAGTTCAGTGAAATAGCTGGAGGTTTTCCCAGCAGAAGGCTGAAGCAGAATTGTGTAGACATCACTTTCTCTGTATCTAGGCAAGCCTTTCTGGGAGCTTTTCCACATGGGGAATCCAGGCTCAAAGAAAAACCAGCTTGACTATCTAAAAACCCATCTGGGGTGAATTTAGATCACTCCTGAAACGCACCAGGCTGGGGTTGCTGGTTTGAGAAGAACACAAACATATTTGGTTATGTTGTTATTGTTAGTATTGAGAAAAAACGTATACGTTTGTGTGTTAAGACTTTATTAGGTACCTACTATGCGCAGATGTGTTTTGCCCTGGGGAATTGCAGATGGGCAGAAAAGGGATGTTCTTTATGGTGAATCAAAGAATTGTGCAGATAATGAGAATAATGACAATTTGAATAAAGTGCTAATAGGAAAGATAGAGCATACTAAGGGAGAAGATTGAAGGGACCCAACACGGGGACAGTGGAGGTCAGGGGAAGTTTAGAAGCCCTGTGTTTGAAGTGAGTCTGAAATATATATTTAAGATTTTTATTTATTTATTTGACAGAGAGAGAGACAGCGAGAGAGGGAACACAAGCAGGGGGAGTGGGAGAGGGAGAAGCAGGCTTCTTGCTGAGCAGGGAGCCTGATGTGGGGCTCGATCCCAGGACCCCAGGACCACGACCTGAGCTGAAGGCAGACGCTTAATGACTGAGCCACCCAGGTGCCCCTGAAATATATATAAGATTTTATTTATTTATTAGAGAGAGAGAGAGATGGGGGGGGCAGGAGCAGAGCAGGAGGGAGAAAGAATCTCAAGCACACTCTTAGCTGAGTGCAGAGCCTGACACAGGGCTGAGTACCACGACCCTGAGATCATGACCTGAGCCGAAAGCAGGAGTTGGACACTTAACTGACTGAGCCACCCAGGCGCCCCAAGTCTGAAATATTTTTTAAGAGGTACCCAAATAAAGGGGTCGGAGAGTTCCAGGTTGGGTGTCTTTGGAGCTACTGTGCCCTCAGTGGCTTCTGGAGCGTTTGAAACCTTATTTGTGCTTTGGCAGATGTGAGAAGCACTAGAATTCTTTGCATGCTGGCCAAGGGACAAAATGTGTATTTTTGCTCATTAGGACCATGGGTGTTGACTTTTTACCTCACATAGCTGGGTCATATTATGTAGAGTCCTGTTGTCTTTTGTAGGACTATTGTATGTCCCTTTACCCCCGCCAGGGAGGACATTTAAGGCCAGGCTAGCCCCTGCTTCCCGGAGTAGCCTCTGCAGAGAATGTTCAGTTTTTACCCTGCCTCAGAGTATTTTGTGCGAAAATACTAAATGACTTCATCATTGCAACACGAGAGTTCTATTTGCAAACCCTAGGCATTGTAGGACTGTGCCTCTTCCTGAGATGGGCTGCACATGTGTCTTTGATGCCAAAACGAGCAGGTCTTTATTGAATATAAACACCATTTAAAATACTGCCAAGGTGATTTCCCCGTGCTGGTGTTCCTGAATGTTAAGAATACTGAGTTAGGTTTAGAATGTCTTCTGTTGTACCTGGTTTTTCCTGTGCACGTCTTAAAAACCTAGTTTCGATTTCAGGGTTTTACGATTTTTTGTGTGTGTTTTGGAAGGGAGGGAGAGGGAGGTGATCTGAAAGAAAATTATGTAAATCCTAAATGTACAATAGATGAGATATCAAAAAGTCAACAAACCTAAGTAGCACCAGCCCAATCTGGATCTAGAAGAAAAACCAGGTTGGCAACCAAGAAGCCCCCTTTTGGGCTCCTCCCCAAAGGGAACCCCACTATCTTGACCTCTGTCCCCACTGATGAGTTTTGCTTGTTTGAGGACTTTGTGTAAATGTGTTCGTTCAGCATTTGTTCTTTGCACCTTGCCCCATCTCCTCCTCCACGTTATGCTTCAGCTTTGTCCATTTTGCATATAGTGGTAGTTCATTCATTTGCATTTTTGTATAGCATTATATACAGCATGGAGATGCCAACATATACCCATGTGTTCCACTGTTGATGACATTTGTGTTGCTTGTTGTTGGGGATTATTATGAATAACGTTACTGTCATTGTGGCCACTCATGTCTTTTGGTACTCAAGGAATGCACTTGCATTTCTTTGGGGGGGTAGCTGGAGTGGAAATGCAGGATCGGGTCATAGACTATGCCTTTGTCTAGTTCGTCTAGATGATTCCCAGTGGCACTGCAAGGTGCTTGCTCCAATTTACATTTCCACTGGCAGTATATGAATTTCCCTTGCTTAACATTTCCAGCAGCACTTGGTATTGGCAATCTTTTAATTTCAGCCATTTAGAATATGCCTACTTTATTGTTTTAAATTGATCATTATGGCATCTGGGTGTTTGTTGAAACGCTTCAACAGCGTTTAGCTTCAACCCTGAGTGAAGGGCTGTGGGGTGACCTCCTGAGGCCTTAACTGAATGTGGGGCCGTCGTTTTGGACCTCATCCTCCAGAATCTGATAGACCAAGGTCCCAAAGCCCGTGGCAAACTGTGTGAATTTACACAGCTATTCAAGCTCTTTGAGTCTCAGTCTCCTCCTCTGCATAATGGGAATAATTTGAAATTCCTCATGGAGCTGCTCTGAAGAGTGTATGAATCAACCCACCAAAAAGCCCATAGTTCCTGGCCTATAGTTACCATAACAAAAGAAGTTATGAGGTCGCTGTGAGTCATAGGAAGAAGCGGCTGGCTACATTGCTTTGGAACACGCCTATATTTATTTTCGTTTATCTTTTTTTAGGGGAAACAAAGTTATTTCACTCAGAGCGTCCGACGTCAAAACCCAATATATCCTTTCTGGAAACTACCTCGTTGGTTTGATGTTCAGGTGGCTCAGTGTGTTGTTTTGAAGGGTGGCATGTTTACGGCTCAGCAGGACCATAAACACTCCTCCGGCCCAGGGCTGCTCTGGATTTGTGAGCAGTTGACACAAGGGCAGCGGAGAAGGAAATCATCCCCAGCTCGTGTTTTGACACAGAGGAGTTTTGTTTTTCCTTTGTCAACCCTCTGCATCCTCCACGGAAAACAAACAAAACACTCCAGCAATGGTAAATATTGTGACGGCAGCCAGCAATGTTTCCTTTTCCGCCACGCAGGGTGACCGAGGGTGGCATTTTAAAAGACCCGTGGTTGTCATTCTGATACTTGCAAGAGCGCCGGCGCAGTCCCAGAAATGAAAGAGGAGACGTGCAGGAAGCGAAGACCCGCAAAATCAGTGTTTCTTTTGGGGGACATTGTGAGCCTGTCAAGGAGGAAGCAGTGGAGGGCAGTGATGGGGGCTGTTTGCATTTCCTCCCTTGGGACACCCAGATTTCTCATGCTACCCCTCCTGAGCCTTACGAGAGACCCCTAAAGACTGTGGAGCGGCCTCCCCGGTGGCTTTGTTGTCACTTCGCTCAGAGCGTGGCCTCACTCTGCCTCCTGTGTCCTGCCTGGGCCAGACTCCTCTCCAACCTACTGGGGAACCGGCCAGGCCAGGAGGGGAGGGGTGGGGGAGCCCCCAGCTCACAGTTTCCCAGAGTTTGCCTTGAATTTTGTCATTAAAGGTTTCATTCGCTTCATAAAGTGTATCCATAATATGTTTTCTTGACCTTTCCCACCTCTTTTCTTTTGAAAGAGAAGAAAAGAAGAGCCAGACAAGAGAGGGAGGTTCACACGGCTGGGTTCTTGGCGTTCACAGACAGGGGTGCATCCGTCGACATTGTTTCTTTTTAGTTATAGTTACATGTTTTTTTTTTTTTTAATTCTTATGTTAATCCCCTACATTACATCATTAGTTTTAGATGAAGTGTTCCATGATTCATTGTTTGTGCATAACACCCAGTGCTCCATGCAGAATGTGCCCTCCTCAATACCCACCACCAGGCTAACCCATCCTCCCACCCCCTCCCCTCTAGAACCCTCAGTTTGTTTTTCAGAGTCCATCGTCTCTCATGGTTCGTCTACCCCTCCGATTTCCCCCGCTTCATTCTTCCCCTCCCGCTACCTTCTTCTTCGTCTTCTTCTTTTTTTTTTTAGTTACATGTTTTTTTAAGTAATCTTTACGCCCAACATGGGGCTGGAACTCACGACCCCCGAGGTCAAGAGTTGCATGCTCCTCCAACCGAGCCAGCTAGGGTACCCCTCTCATTTCTTTTTAGTTGCCCTATTTGGGGCAAGGTCCTTCATTTCTCCAGGACTCAATTCTTTCATCTCTCTATGGAGGCAGCGATGCTAGCATTGATTACGAGGGTTATGTTAAAAATGACAGATGTTACAAAATAAAACGTGAGAATGGCGCTTACTTTGAGTGCTTGGCCTACATCCATTCGTTAGTCCTTACAGCCGCCTGTGGGCTGTTTTGCTCTAAGGTACAGATGAAGACACTGAGGCAGAGAGTGTTTTAAGGGACATGGCTAACGCAGGTTCCTCAGATAATCAGTGGCAGGGCTGGGGTTTGGATGGGAGGCAGTTCAGTTTCAGAATCTGTCCTTCATCCCAGTATTGCCATGTTCCCACTGGTCCTCCAAAGCAGGCATCCCACCCCTCATTCTTCTCTCTATAGACAACCATGGCACAGTTTGGCCTAACTCTTCCTAAGTAATTTGAGGCAACGGAACTGGGATCGCGCCATCCACTCTCTCTGTGTTTCTTGCTTGTTGCATGATACGCTGTGTCATAAATATTTTCCATGTGCATACCTCTGGTTCTACCTAGGTAAAAAATTAACCACCTTGGTGAGAGCTGTTCATTTAGCCCAGCCTCGGTGGGGGTGGGGGGCGTGGGGGGCTGGCTTTCTTTCAGAGCAACCCGGTTTGAGCTGGCTTGCTGCCTAGGAACTGGCTTTCTTTCCCACAAAGTAGCTTCTGAGAAAAACTGTGGGAAACAAATGACTTCAGAAGTTTCTAGAAACAAAAGTGCAAACGCTTAACAAATTTCATCTGGTCCAAAAATGTTATTACCCCAAATCTTGAAAATATTTTCTTACAGGATTATTCCCCCAAGGTTGTTAATCTGAGAACGATCCGGGCCTATTAGGCCTGACTTTTTGCCCCCTGATATTGGAGTCCTGTGTAGCTGAGTGCCAGAGTGTGGGGGTTGAGGTAAAAATATTTCTGTGGAGGAAATGAAGTCATTTTATTTAATATTATAGCGACCACTGGGACTCTATCATTTCAGAAAGGGGATGGCAGTTCACCCAGCCAAGATGAAGCTTTACAATTGGTCCAAGAGTCCTTTTAAAAGGTAGCAGTAGGCTTTGGTAGCCGCAAATCTTTATTCATTGTATCTGCCCTGAAGATTCTTGCTGTAGTTAAGTTTTACCAAATGAACACTGTTTTTCTAGATAAATGTTACTGTAACATTATCCGCCTCTTTCTTTTCCTGGTTGACATTCAAAGCCATTTTACTTGAGGTGTTACCGAGTGGCAGTTTCTATGTTGAGGCGATTGTGTGAGACCCGCTTCTCTGGCCCTGAGCGCCCAGCACCCCGTGGAGACAATCCTTCATTTGTTCGCAGAAGGAAGGAATGTGCCACTCATTGTAAACCAGCCTCCCTGGATACACCTGTAGGGCTGGTTTCACTTCTGAGCTCCGGACACAGGCAGAGTTCACCTTGTTCTGGCAACGGAATGTCAACAGTGACTGGATCCTTGAGGAGCTGGGGTTTCTGTGTCCTCCTTCCGCTGGTGAAGTCTCGAGTGTGTGCGTAATCGCTCTTAAGCTGGTGCGGTGAAGCTGAAACTTGGCTTATCATTAGGCCTAGATTCTCCCGGAACATAGTTTAGATAAGAGTTGAAGAAAAAAATGCCAGGCCTAGTAGCATTCACTGCCCTGAGATACTGAGGAGCTTTATTTCTCCTCACAAAGAAAGCCATTTGGTTTAATTTTGAAAACTGCTTGTGAGTAGGCCAGGAGATACGAAGTGGTCTTCCTTATTACCTCATCTAGCTTTAATTTTTCAGCGAGCTGTTTAGAAGCAGAGAATAAAGGTGGTAAGGTGGTAATGTTTGCTCACTTGTAGTGACTCGAGTCTTGCAGTTCCATTGCATTGTCACAGACATCATAGATACTTGGCCTCTGTCAGAAGCCCAGCTGTGTGGCTTTGGGCAAGTTACTTAATCTCTCTGAGGCTCAGTTTTCTCATGTGTCGAAAGGGTACAATATTAATAGCACTCAACTCCTAGGATTGTATTAAGGATTAAGGAGTTAAAGTTGTAGTCCTTCAAACAGTACATAGGATACAGTAAGCGTTGTAGAAGTGTTGTAAATAAAAATAGACTGGGAGACATGAAGTTAGATGTATATGAAGTGCCGCTGAAATTTATGTGGCCTTTCTGGTTGCTGAATATTCTGACACACAGAAATGAATCATTAACTCAAAAGAACTGGTTTTATGGTACATAGTTAAGATTTTTTTCCCCCTTTTAAGTATATATTCCTTTTCTGCTTTTCCTGTTCCCTTTGGAGAGCAAAAGTATCGGAAAAAAACAAGTGCAAGCGCTTCCTTATAATATTGATTTGGTTGTAGTCAAAACAGGAATTGTGAGTCATGAACTCCAAATTAACAGGAACGAGCCAAGGTGAAATGACATCCTAAGGATGGGGTCATCTTTGGCAAACAGACTCAGGAATTCATCAGGTATTAAAACAGTGTTCTTAACCTAGAATCTCTGGATAGAAATCAGGGGACCCATACTTTTGGGTGGACTAAAAATTACATCTACATTTGCTTTCTTTCTTTCTTTTTTTTTTTTTTTTAAGATTTTATTTATTTATTTGACAGGGTGAGAGCGCACAAGCAGGGGGAGTGGCAGAACGAGAGGGAGAAGCAGGCTCCCTGCTAAGCAGGGAGCCCAACACAGGGCTCTGTCCCAGGACCCTGGGACCATGACCTGAGCCGAAGGCAGACGCTTAACCGACTGAGCCACCCAGACATACCTACATCTACATTTTCCCTCCTCACCGCTAACTGAACATGAGCATTTCTTTCAGTTACCAACTTGGGCAAGAGCACACAGGAGCATGACAATACCCATGACTTTGTCATCAATAGAAATCTCAGATATTTTGATATGGCATTCTGGTTTTGTTTATGTCTACCATTACCGAGAAATTACAGTAGTTATTAGACTCACCACTATTTATTTGCTACTCAGTACCTTCATTAAGAAAAAAAAACCATAATTATAAATGTGTTCTTATTTCAGTAAAATTGGTTTCCTCCGTACTCGTGTGCATCTTATTCGACTCATTTATAAACATCTTTCCATCATTCTGAGAAAGGCCTGTAGGCTTCATCTGACTGCACAAAAAAGATGAAGAGGGAGTTTTTTTTTTAAAGATTTTATTTATTTAACAGAGAGAAACAAGTGAAGGAGGGAACACAAGCAGGGGGAGTGGGAGAGGGAGAAGCAGGCTTCCCGCCGAGCAGAGAGCCTGATGCGGGGCTCGATCCCAGGATCCTGGGATCATGACCTGAGCCGAAGGCAGACACCTGATGACTGAGCCACCCAGGCGCCCCTGAAGAGGGAGTTTTAAAGCTGATCATATAAACTGATTTGAATCTCCAGAGCTATCCAGTCTAAATATAATGGGAAGCACATGTAATTAAAATTTTTCTGGTAGCTACTATAAAAGGAATAAAATGGAACAGGCTTAATGCATATTAATAATATAATCTTATTTCAATAATTAAATTTTTTTTGTTAATTATAATTAAGTTTTGACCTATTTAGTGAAATCTGTTCAAAATATTATCATTTCAACAGATAGTCAATATCAGGTAACTAATGAGGTATTTACATTTTTTCTTCATCCCGTCTTGGAAATTAGGTGTGTATTTTGCGCTTAGAGTAGCATCTCACTTTGGATGCTACAGTTTCATTGGAAATACTTGATCTGTGTATACATTTAACAGGATTTTTTTGGAAAAGCAGATTCAGGTCCAAATACGAGGAAAATGTTTCCTTTAACGACATTGTCATTTAAATTGAAATCAATAACGGTATCAGATAGCCCCGCTCCAGTCTGGCTGGGCACAGAACCCTTGTGAGGGAGAAACATGAGCAGGGCACTGGGAGAGATTTCATTAAGGTAGCACCTGCTCTTCTGTTACTTTGTTTAGTGAATGAAATCCTGATGGAGACCCTTTCTCCCTGAGGTTCTCCTCATCCCTCTACCTGTCCCCAAGTAAACCCTCACTGCCCCAGGGATGACACAAAAAGCCGAGGTCTCTCTGGCTGGGGCTTTGTGTGACTTAAAGGAGGGGTTTCTGTTTTAGTGGTGACTTTTGCAGATCCCTACGGGGTGGAATTTTGTAATTTCCATTCCAGCCTGTTGAAGAGGTATTTACAAATTCATGGAGAGGAAAGTTCTAATTTTTTTCCCCTTGAGCAGTTCTTTGGTATAACAATGGGATTTAATTGACATTTGAATTTTTAGTAGCTGTTTTTATTCCCCCCCCCCCTCCTGTGGTGTCTTGCAAGACTCGATTTAATCTTTTATTTTAGCCCCTACTTCCTGGATTCACAGTTTACCTTCTCAGGCTGTCATTCCCCTGCTAGGACAGGTGCAACCTGGTGGTTTTTAGTTTTTTGGATCCTTGAGAGAAGGTGCGTATCCATGTGGAGGACCTTTGTCACCTAGTTCAGCCAGGCTGTGTATTTCCCACTGCTGGCTACAGTTGTTAGAAAGATCTTTTCCCTTCCAGGAGTGGATCTCTGCAGTTAAGCTAGATAGTTCCAGCCAACTCTAACCTATGTACTTGGGCGGTCTCACCGTACTTTCATATCCTAACTTGTGTGTCTAATTTTTGATACCGGGTGTGGCTTTTTCATTTTTTTGCTTGAAATTGGTAAGTTCTGAAAAAATTGCAAACCAATACAGTGACCAGGCCAAATCCAGTTTACTATTTTCTAGAGAAAAGTTGAATTACTTTGGGGTTCAGGTAGATCCAGAAGGGCCGTCAGAGACTGACAGTAAGTGAATTCTGCAGATGAGTGACTTCCTCGTGTGTTCGGCCCTTTGGATAGACTGTTGAACTGTGTTGGGTCTTAGAAACCTGGAAGCATGTCTCATACCTCAGCTGACCCCTGGGACTGGATGTTGTATATTATACTGTGCTCATACTTCTGAAGGAGAACACAAGGCACATTGCCTGCTCTTGAGGAGTTGTGGTCTTGGTAAAATGAAGCTGTAAACTTAGACAGGTCTAATGGATGATTGAGATGGAAGGTACATTTGTCAGTGGGTTCTGTTTTAAAATTCTTTTTTTTTTAAGGTTTTCTTTATTTCAGAGAGAGAGAGAGGGAGCACGCGCGTGCGTGAGTAGGGGGGAGGGGCAGAGGGAGAGAGAGACAGATGTTCCACTGAGTGGGGAGCCCAGTGCCAATGCCAGGGCTCCATCCCAGGACCTTGGGATCATGACCTGAACCTAAGGCAGACGCTAACTGACTGAACCATCCAGGCTCCCCTCACTCGCTTTAAAAAAAGATTTTATTTATTTATTTGAGAGAGAGAGAGAGAGAGTAAAATTCTATACCAAACAGAAACAGAGCAATTTCCTGCCAAGGAGTAGTAATAACAACAGAAATAGCAGTTGGCATTTATTGATTCATTCAGCAAAGGTTTAGTGGGTGCTTACTATGTGTCAAGCACTCTTCTAGAATAGAGCAGCCAACACAATGGGCACAGAGTCTGCTTGGGTTTATTATGCAGGTGTTGGGAATGTATCTGATATGACACGTGCACACTTGCATTTTAATGAGTTGAGTGAATAAAAATTTATAGCTGAATGTCATCACGGCTGCAATGGAAGTGTGAGCAGGAAGTGATAAATGCTTTGAAGAATACCAAATGATAGGTCTGGCGAGGACAAACTTGAACAAGTGACAGTTGCTTTCTTTCCATCTCGTTCTCTCTGGGCTTCATTCAGTCAGCTCTTGTCATCTTCTTAGGTCGGGAGTGAGCAGTTGGAGGACTGTGAATGATTCAGTGCAGTCATTTTGCTTTGAGCCGTGTGAACATGGACAGTTTATCTGTAGCATCATCCTCAGACTGCGTAGGATTTGTTTTCTCAATGACTGCTAAGAGAGTCTCTGATGTTAAAATCAAATCAGATACCAAATTGTTAAAAAAACAATTTCCAGCAGTTTAAATTTTAATTAAGCCATTGCTTTAATATTATTTCTAGGCATATATGGCTTTTTAAATGCGTGGATTGAGGATGGATGTCTTCGCTGTGACACAGTGGTTTGTTTTACAAATACATTGAATACATGACAAATATATGTAAATACAAATGCATTGAATAAACTGAGCCCCTTTGAATTGTGCCCTTATCTTTAAAAGGAAAGACTTCTAAAATTTAAACATGGATTTTGATGTTTTTGAGTTTGCCCTACTGAACTTTGCAAGAATTTTCAAGCTCTTGGGTCTAACACAAACTGGAGTTTAGTGAGACGGATCAAATAATTTTATTCTCATCTCAAAGTTACTGATGTAGGAGAGATGTTGGGGTCTGTAGCCCATGGCCAAGAAAGAATTCTTGAGATGTCTTTGGTGCAAAAAGGTGGTTTTCTTAAAGCACGGGGACAGGACTGTGGGCAGAGCAGCACTGGGGTACTGAGGAGTGGCCCATTATATACTTTCCAGTTGGGAGGGGGTTAGGGATAGGGTAAGCCTCCCAGGTATTTGGGAAACAAGGTTTCCAGGACCCTGAGAGGGCCTCGCCATTATTAGGAAAGGGTCATTTATTATTGTCTAATAAAACCCTAGTCATGAGACCCTTCAGATGTATATCGGTGGATCATACGCTTCAGGGATGATTGTTAACATATATCTTGGGGAGTTTAGAGATAAAGGAATTTTCCAAAGGAATTTTTATATGTTAAAGTAGACTCACAGGATCCTGGTGGTCGGGCTAAGATTGGCTTTTGCCCTTAGCAAAGTATTAACATCGATGTGGCTGAGTCCCTAAAGGACTGTCACTCTGCCTGTTTCAAGGACTTGTCAATGGGCTGCAAGTAGTAAGGAAATGTAATTTTTCTTTTGCTTTTGTTTCCCACATCGGTTACCATGAACTCCACTTGGGCAGGTTGGACTGTATTATAATGGAAGAGCCAAGGCACCTGTCATTTTATTCTGTTGCAATAGGGAGAACTTGCATTAATGAGGAAAGTCTCAGAGTAGAGAGAGAACACTTAGGGTTTTATAAAACGAGGGAATCAATGAGGAAAATGGGAGGTGGGTCCCAGCATATTCCAGAACAGAATGGTCCTTTGCATGGGGTCCTTGCTCTGAACACAAAAGGGTCACAAAAGGGTGGTAGCATGTCTTGAACAGGGCTCTTTCCCTTGAGCCCTGGGCTCAGATAAAGTTCAACATTGTCAGTGCATGCATTGGGAAGTATTTTTAAAAGGGTATTGCTGATTAAAGCTTTCACTTAAAAGCTTCAGCAGTTAATCAGAAATGTGCAATTTATAATTAGTGTAATTTAAGCATAATGATTTCATGGTAACTATCTCAATGTAGTCATTTGATGATTTTAAGATATAAACATGGGGTTTTTAACCCTCACAAGTTATTTTATGCCAGAAACTAAGAAAAATGCTGCTGGTTATTCTCCCCCAATTCCCATCTTAGGTTGATCATATGATTTTTCTGGGTCCTTAATTATATTTAATTATATTTAGGGGATATTTATGCCATTGCATGTTCTGTTTGGGGTTTTGCAAATTTGAATCCCAAAGTTAGTATAAATAAAACAAGAAATATAAAAAGGACATAGGCCTGTTATCTTAGCATTTTGTTTTCAGGAATTGTTTGCTAGGGCTTATGGATCTAATTCTCTTGCAACATTAGGATTCGGGTTTTCTTTAGGGAATGCAGGAAGCATAAACTGAGGAATTATTTTACATAACAATCAGAATGAAATGTTATTTATTTATAAGTTACTCAGGGCCCAAAGGCCTTAGGGCACCAAACATAACACAGTATAGAAAACAAACCAATTTTCATTGACATTTAGCTATAAATTGAAATTAATTCATATAAAATACCTGAGACGAAACACTTTTTTGGGTACTGTTTAGCTTTCATGGTTTTGTCATTTTAGATTTAACTTCAAAACTGTGTTGCATAAACTCATTTGCTAGATAAAATTTTCTGGCTATCCACTTTTTATTGTACTTCTGTACTGTGTAGGTGAACAGTTTAGTATTTAAAATTCTTACATGTTTTTTTTTTTTTCCGTGTGGGTTTTATCTTTTCTGTTTTTCATTCCTTTGTACATGGTCCTACTTATTCTTGCTACTTATTCTGGAGCCAAAGCTGGATGGGGGTGCAGTGCACTGCTGTGTGTGTGTGTGTGTGTGGTCAGGATAACATTTTTGGGAAATGGATGACTGCAAAACAGTGAGGCCTGCCCACTTGTGGGCAAATGACATAACCAACAGCTTACCGAATGCCTTGCCAAGACAAATAGGATTGAGTTGTCCCCATTGGTGGCTGCTCCCACGCATGCTGAATTCATTCCACCCTTGGCTCTGCCTTCCTGTAACCTGGAGAAACTTGCTGAAATTTGTACCCAAAGGGGGAAAAAAAAAGACCAAAACAGGACATAGTGAAGTTTAAATATGCCAAATGAGGAAATAAATGATACAGTGCAGAAATGGCAGGGAGCACATTCTACCTGAGACAGAGTTCAGAGGTCAGCATCAAAATCCAGAAGGAGGCAGAGAAGGACTTGAAATTTCTAAAAGTTCGTTAATTTGTGTTTCTTATGAATTGAGGTAACACGGTTTTTTGTTTTTTGTTTTTTTTTTAAAGATTTTATTTATTTATTTGAGAAAGAGAGAATGAGAGAGAGAAAGCACATGAGAGGGGGGAGGGTCAGAGGGAGAAGCAGACTCCCCGCCGAGCAGGGAGCCCGATGCGGGACTCGATCCCAGGACTCCAGGATCATGACCTGGCCCGAAGGCAGTCACTTAACCAACTGAGCCACCCAGGCGCCCCGTTTTTGTTTTTGTTTTTAAATTCTCTTATCACCACCATTTCTGGTTTCCAGTAGTCTCCCTTATTTCCCTGGGGAGGGCATGCAGGAATGGCAGGAAATGCTAGGGCCTTGTTTGCAGAGCCCTCTCCAGGTGGCGGCTAGCCTGTGTGGCCAGCTAATACCACTCCCTTCCAGTGTCCATGCTGTAGGCTGACCTGAAGGTCAGAGCTGTCGCATGTGTTTTTCCTCTTATGTAAAAAATAAATTAGATAGGGAAGTTTTAGCTGTTGAATTATTTTTTGAAATTCATGTGAGAGATATTATTTTAAATTTAAAGAATTTAAAAAAATGACCACCATCCTAATGATTGTTTCTCAAGTGTGGCTTCGTTTACTGCTCTGATTTAGACCTAGAGCATGACTTGGCACATACTAGGTAGCCAGTAAATTTTCACTGAATGCATGTATGGTCCATAGACCACAGGCCTCCGAAGCTCCTGGGTGGTTATTACAAATGCAGGCTCTCAGGCATCCCCTAGGCCTTCAGAATCAGAATGTCTAGGAGAGGAGCTGCATTTTAAAAGAGGCTTCTCCAGCAGATTTGTATGTGTCCTCAAACTTGACAACTGCTGTGCTAACACACCCAAGGGTTTTTAGTTTCCATGTTGCTTTTCATATACATTGTAACAGGGAGGTTTTTAGGTTCAGTTCTCTATCCATCCATAACTTCCCCACCTCTCCGCAGCAGTATTATATAACAAATATTTACCTAGTTATACATAAAAAAAAACTTTTTAAAAACTAATTAATTATTATTATTTTTAAGTAGGCTCCATGCCCAATGTGGGGCTTGAACCCTGATATCAAGAGTTGCAAGGTTTACTGACTGAGCCAGCCAGGCACTCCCTACTCAGTTATACATTTTAATGTTATCCAACAAAATTGGAATGCTCTCTATACCTAACCATTTTCCTCTTGTTGGATTCCCCCTTTCCCTCCCTCATTATTCTTTAAAGCTCCGGAGTAATATAGGCATGTATAGCTATTCTTTCTGTGAGCCGGGTGTTCTTTCTAGAAGTTTCTTGCAGAGAGGAGATAACAAGAGCTAAAAGGGCTCCCTTCATGGCTTTAAAATTGTTATTTATTTGTAAGACTTTATTTATTAATTAAAATATTTATTTATTTGAGAGAGAGCATGTGCACAAGCTGGGGGGAGGGAGAAGGACAAGCAGACTCCACACTGAGCATGGAGACTGACGTGGGCTCAATCCCAGAACCCCAAGATCATGACCTGAGCTGAAATCAAGAGTCCGATGACTAACTGAGCCGCCCAGGTGCCCCAACTTTATTTATTTATTAAAAAAAATTTGTTAACTATGTATGGTGATGGATATTATTGTGGTGATCATTTTGCAATATGTACATATATCAAATCATTATGTTGTTTATCTTAAACTAATACAATCTTATATGTCAGTGCTATTTCAATAAAATGGGGGAAAATGCCACCCCTAAATATTTCTGGCACCTTAGTGTGGTATCTGGCACATAGTAGATGGTCAATAAATATTTAATAGATGACTGGATAAATGGATGAAGGAGTCAAAAAATAAAAGGGCTTTTGGAAGCTATTAGCATTTATATAGCACTTTCAATCTCTGCTGTCTAACTTGCTTACCTAGTACATTCCTTTTTGAGGGAAAAACCATTCCAGGTCACATTTCATTAAATATTACTAAGAAATTGCAAAACTACTTACTGGTGATGACCAAGGATTCCTAATTACTTCCCTTGAATTAGGCAGGAGGGCTGGGTGCCTTGAGACTGAGGCAAGAAGAATGTTTCTCCCTGGGAATTTTTTCCCCCTTCATTTGAGAAATATAAAAATTAGCTGTGATTCCTCAAGCTACATGATAATGCTAATCTTTTACAACAGAAGTAAAGAAGATCCCAGTTCCCATGTAAATTTGGGGACTTTTGAGTTCTACAGAATTAATACATTTCTTAAGACTTGTTATTCGAGTATACAAAATAAACTGTTTCCCAAATTTATTTGACCTTAGAATCTTTTCTTTAGTATCTCTTAAAATTACTTCTCTACAGAACAGTCTCTGGGGAATACTCACCTAAAGGGGTGTTTTTCAAACTGCAGGACAAGATTCATGATTATGGGTCATGGAATTTGTGTATAACCAGAATTTACATATACAGATACGTAAAAACACAACTCGTGTTTCCTTTTTCAAAGTGTGTGTCCTGAGAGCTCAGAGACAGAAGGTTACATTTCTTTCTTTCTTTTTTCTTTAAAGATTTATTTATGTATTCCAGAGAGAGAGAGAGAGAGAGAAGCGTGAGTATGTGTGTATGTGGGGGGGGGGGGGGCAGAGGGAGAGGGAGAATCTTAAGCAGACTCCCTGCTGAGCAAGGAGCCTAACTCAGGGTTCTATTCCAAGACACCAAGACCATGACCTGAGCTGAAATCAAGAGTCAGACACTCAACCCACCAAGCCACCCAGGCTCCCAGAAGGTTCACAAGGTTCTTTCTGTGTCTCCTCCCACTAAAAGAAAACCAAAAAAGCACAAAAATATAGCCAGTTTGATATGAAGAATGTAAGCATAAATATAATTTCTTGTTTAAATAATAGAGCAATATTAATTCTATTTAATAAGCACATATTAGTACTTAATATGTGCCAACACTATTGTGATCATTTTACAAATATGAACTAATTTGATCCTCATAACCACCCTGCAGGGTATATGTGCTGTAATCATCCCCATTTTATGGATGGGAAAGTGAAGCACTTGCTAGCATTCTCTATGATATAATTAACTGTAAAATCAGGAAGTGACAGTAATAATTAGTATATATAACTTTGACCTCACATTTAATAATGGCAATTAAAGATCAAAAGGAGAAGAGAAGCCAATCATATTATATTAGAGTTAGGATCGTGCCAAATGTTCTTTCTGGCCCCATGGTAATGGGGCTTGGGTACAACGCAAATTATGTGCAGATACTAGAATGATCATTGGACTGTTTGAGGGCTTTTAAAAGATAACAGAACATGGAACATGGATAAAATGTCTTCAGATATTATTTGCTCATTTGTGGCCATCTGGCCACTGCATGTAATGAATGACAAGTCATCTACTATAAGGAATATTTTTGTTTTTTAAGTGAGCATTTCTCTAGTGTCAGGATTATTCCTTTTGCTGGTTTTCTTCCTATCTTTCCTGCAAATGGGATAAATCATTTGTAAAAGTAGCACTTGTCACAGACTGTACTTTGTGTATAGCAACATGCTGTATGTTGAGGCTGAGGGGTGAGGCTCCCAGCTCACACACTACCCCAAAGCAGGACATGTTGGCCTAGTGCATATTTTGAGTTTAAGGAGTTTGAGAAATGGCAGGTGCAGGAGGGACTTGGTGATTTTCCCATGATACAGTTGATAATGACGGTCATGTGACAGATGCTCTTCCTATACCTGGAAGAAAGGAAGGGAGACACCAGGAAGAATTCAAATTAACAGGCCTTGCTAAGTTTCCCCCAGATTACCACACTTAGCTCGTATCCTGTCACGTCTGTCCACAACTTTCCACTCTTCATTGAACCTAGCGTTAGAAATGCTCAAGTTTAACCACTTCTTGGGTCTTATTTCCCTGTGAAGACTCTGGGTGGTCATGCAGAAGTTATAGTAAATAAGTCTGAATGTGTTTCTCTTGTTTATGTTTTGTCATAGAGCCCCAGCCAAGAACCAAGAAGGGTAGAATGAAAGTTGTTTTCTCTCCCCTATAAAGTGGCATTTTCTAAGAAAGTTAATAATCTTCCTTTCGTTCCCCACAGCCATTGGGAAACACTTTTTGTTTCTGAAGAGGTTGTTTTATTCACTTAGGAGAGAAGACACACCCAAGGACTTCAGAGCCATGGTTCTGATTTCAGTGGATAAGCATAGCCGTGGTTCACAGTGGGATTAGGGTTGTCCCCAGGGGACATCTGGCAATGTCTGGACACATTTTTGGTTGTCACAACTGGGAGGGTGCTGTTGACATCTAGAGGGGAGAGGCCAGGGATACTGCTTAAACAGCCTGCAATAGACAGCACAGCTGCCCCCAACAGAGAATTACCCACAAATGTAAACCATGCCAAGGCTGAGAAAGCCTGCTTTGGAGCAATTTGGTGCAATTCTCTGTCAGTGAACCGCCTTGGTTTAAACTAAGGGCAGTAGAGTTCCAATTCTTTGTGACTTGCTTCCATTAAAATTATTTCTCTTGGACCTATTCTCATGACCAATTACAGATGTTTTGTGGGGAAGCTGTAGTGGAGAGAGGAGGCAAAAGATGGCGTCAGTTGCCCAAAGAATTGGGGTACTTAGATTTTCTCTAATCATTGAATTTTGGAGGAAGAGGGGGGGCTGTTTCAGGTTTGGAGTTTGTGAGGTGTTGGAAAATCTGCTGCTGGAATGTGCTATGAACAGACTAAATCATGGTCAATACGTGTCTGGTTGTCGCTGGGTTGAGCAGTGTCACAAATGGTCTGCATGTATTGTTTTCTTATTCATAATTTCCAATAAAATCAAAATGTCACCTTTTTAAAGATGAGGAAACAATCTCAGAAGTTTAGTAACTGTGGACTTCTCTAATTCCTTGTTGAAGCATGGTGTAGTAAATAGTAAATTCTTTTGAATGGCCATTCCTCGGGTTGCTTTCTTTGTGCTCTGCTTTGCTTGGGATAAAGAGAAGTGAGGTTTGGAGAACTTCTTGAACGTACTCCAGTGTTTTAAGGCCTTCCCTCCCTGCTGGTTGCCTAGCCCAGGTCCTCGCATCTGATTGCCAGTGAGGAGGAAAGGTCTCTTACTAAGGGACACAGAGGTAGAATAGAAAACATTTAGACAAATTGCAGCCTCTGCCATCCTGATACTTGAAGATTCTCCCCTGATCTTTTCATTTTAGTCTCTTAAGATTCCTCTTTCTCATTTTATTCTTCCTTTATCTCCATAGACTATAAAGTGATCCAGAAACTTAGTAATATTATGAATGACCATTTATCAAGTGGCCACAATCTGCTTACTAATGTTCAAAGAATATGAGGAATGTCAGTTTTGTTTCCAAATCCTCATTATCCCCAAACTACTTGATACCAAGCCTGCTTAGGTCTTTTTACTCCCCAAATCAATCACCCTTTTATTTCTCATAGGGTCTTAGGTGCAGAGGACACATTCTGCAGAAGATCAGACGCGGTCTGAGTGATGGGGATGTAGGAGATGGTATTTTATGTAGCTTGTGTCACTCCTACAATAATTCAGATGGGTTCATAATTTAATATTCATCCTTGAAATATTTTCTCTGAAGTTAGAAAATGAACCATCTTTACGAACATTTGACAGTGTTTCTTTGGGATACTTTTTTGTTACCATGTCTGTCTGTGAGTAATTCAAGATCATTTATAGCTGTCTACATTCAACTCTTTATAATTTGTCCAAAATTAACATTGGTAATCTGTTTGGTTATTGGTATCCCCCCACCCCCTTGTCAACATGAAAGAGTAGGAAATAATGATCTTGGTGGTAAAACATGGTTTGTATGTTTTTTTAATAATAAAGATTATACAGTTTGCTATTAGATTGGTTTCCCTGCCCATAATAATCGACATGTGGAAATCCACAGGACTTGCAAAAGGCAATTAAAAAAAAAGGGAAATAAATAAAAAGACTCTTCATGTCCAGCTGTGGGGCCACAAGTTCAAAAGAGTGTATTTCATTGATGATCTGAGTACGCCACTGGATGTGTGATGTGTGTTAGTTTAAAGTATTAGCAGACCGGTTTTTATTTTTCTCTTTAGCTGCAGAGCCATAATGAAATGATTTGAGGGGTGGTCACAAGAGAATTACTAATGCTAGTGTTTACTCTAGTGGCTTAGGGTCTCTTTAAATTAATGAGTTAAACAGGACAGGATATAACATCAGAAGAGAGTTCTTGCTGTTTACCTACGTGATTGCATCCTCCGTAAAAAAAAAACATGCCCTGCCCTCCCCTACAAAGACAGCAGGGAAAACCTTGTTCTTGCCTTTGAGGACTGGTTCCCCCATACCCCCACCCCCGACGCCCTCCCTGCCTACCACAGTAAAATGATTTCAGTGACCTGGTCTCATTTCAGGAAATGTTTAATGAGTCTTAGGAAAACTATAAATAAATCTTATGTCACTGTTACATCAAGGAACAAGTACATCTTCAGGCTCTAGATAATTAGGATGTCCACCTACTTTCATGAGAAGCCATTTGCATTCGAAGGGGTGCATGCTGGTGACTTGAATTTCTTTCTTTCTGGGCTTCAAATTGTCCTGTCTCGATGTGGAAAAGGAAAAGGTCTCAGTGAATGTGACTGGTGGGGAGATTGTCATGTGAACAATGTCATCGAAAGACTGGAGGGGACATCCAGAGGTGGGTCATCTTGTCCACTCCCAGCCTCTGTGTAGGTAGAACCTGAAGCAGTGAGAACAGAGCCTTTGTTAAGAAGCATGCTTCAGAATTTCCCCTCTGAGTCACACTTAACTAAGCTAGATTGAAAGAAATGGTTCATTTTTTCTCATGGCAGCTCTATTTTTTATTTGTAACTTGGGTAATTGAAAAAAATTCTCAACAGCCAGAAGTTTGTTTGCCTTGTACGTATTTGAACTTGAGAGGAAGGATGATGATACTGACATTTAATATGGAATATACTTCTTTTTTTTTTTGAAATATGGACTGTACTTCCTGAGGTCAGTGTATCTGGTTAAATATTTTGTCCTTAGAAGAATATTATTTCGGTCTGTATTCTTTTGCTTCTGATGACTGCTCTTTTTGTAAGAAATAAACAAAACAAAATGAAAAAAAACAAAGCACTGAATACATTAAATAAAATTAAATAAAACATAGAAAAATTGCCATTCTTTTGTGTTTCACTGAATTGACTGGTAACCTGACTGAACCTATTTATAACTCTTTGGGCTAAAGTAATCAGAAGAGTGTCCTTTAGGTAAAAATCTTATTTAATTTTGAGGTAGTTTAATTATCTGTTTCCTCTCCCTTCTTTGAATAAAACATCACACTTTGCCGTAGCTCCCACATTTGTCAGAAGTTTAGAAGTAAATAATAGAATAAAACGTGCGGCCTAAAAATTCTGTTTAGCAGGTGAGGGCGAATAAGTTGTGGTTTGTGCTTATCCCAAACAAGCCATATAGCAAGCACAGAATGTACGCAGGTGCCTCATGCTACAAAGACTGCCTGTGGCCATGTGGTCAGACCGCATGAATTGTCCATGAATTGGCTAGCCAGGGACTGCGCTCACTGCAGAGACATCCTCCCTCTCTCCCTGTGGGCAGTCCGCTACCTCCAGGAAAAAGCTGACTTACAAACAATTTCCTGGTGAGCCAGCTGGGGGAAGGAGGGGATTTCCTTAGTAGGACACTGTGCACTGCCATTCAAAACAGACAAAGCCAGCAAGTCTTAGAAATTTGAGGGGAAAGGGCAAGGGAGATGTGACAAGGAGGGGCAGGGTGGGGTCTGCAAATGGGTTGAAAGCATTTTCGAGGTATTTGTCTGGCTTGCCGTTCTTCTGACAGCTCTTGGGAATCTCAAACAGTAGTAATAACTGGCTCTTGGAATTTAGATTTCAGAATACAAGTCTTCCTCCCTTTTCTAGTGGACTTTCCTGATGAGATTCTCTTGCTGTTCTAGCCACACTGGTATAGATTTTGATTTTGGGGAAGCTGTATAAACTGGCCCATCATCAGAATGAAAGATACTGTCTAGAGAAAATTAGGTAGACACCTTTTTTTTTTTTTTTTTTTTTACAGATTTTATTTATTTATTTGAGAGAGAGAGAATGAGAGAAAGCACATGAGAGGGGGGAGGGTCAGAGGGAGAAGCAGACTCCCCGCCGTGCAGGGAGCCCGATGCGGGACTCGATCCAGGGACTCCAGGATCATGACCTGAGCCGAAGGCAGTCGCTTAACCAACTGAGCCACCCAGGCGCCCGACACCTTTTTTTTTTTTTAAAGTAGTTTCACTGAAATGTTGCTGAATTTTCTTTATTTTTGGCTTACAAGGCAAATACGATTTCTTCTTTGCTGTACTGACAATCAGCCTGTTGTCGCAGTGAGCCTTTTTATCTGTTTCTTGCCACTCACTTGTGAGCGCTTCTGTTTCCATCTTTGCCTTTTAAAGACGGTGAGGAAATAAAGGACTTTGGAGAGTCCCCCCTCTGTGACTAATCAGACAGATAAAAATGTCTGATTTTTAATTCAAACATTTGAATGATATATTTCCAAATGAAAAATAATCTAGATAACTACATGAGAATTGATTTGCAGTTGACCTGCTATGGATTGCAGACATCTAATGAAACATGAGAGCATTCTGATTCCGCCATTTTCGTTTTGTATTTATTTATTTATTTTTAAAGATTTTATTTATTTATTATTTGAGAGGGAGAGAGAGTGAGCGAGAGAGAGCAGAGCATGAGCCGGGGGAGGAGCAGAGGGAGAGGGAGAAGCAGACTCCCCACTGAGCAGAGAGCCTGATGTGGGCTTGATCCCAGATCCCAGGACCCTGAGATCATGACCTGAGCCGAAGGCAGACGCTTAACCGACTGAGCCACCCAGGAGCCCCTAATCTGTTATTTCTCATGATGTTTTGGGTTAGCCAGATAATTCTTGGGCTGGCCTCACGTGGGCTCCCTTGTCTGTTGTGTCCATCTGGGAGGGTGACTGGGTTAGAAGGTCCAACGTCACTAGGGCATGTTGGTTTTCTTCCACATGGGCTCTTGTCCTCCATTAGGCTAGATTGGCTTCCATACCTGGTGGTTTTAGGATGGCATTTCAAAAGAGCAAATGTGGGCAGGCAAGCTCCCTTGATGCCCAAGCTGTAGAGGTCACACAGTGCCACTGTCCCCACATTTAATTGGTCTCAAAGCAAGTGCCAGGCCAGCCAGAATTCAAAGGGTGAGCAAACAGACTCCACCCCTTGCTGGGATTTGCTGCAGGGAATTCAATTGGCCAAAACATTCCTCCCTCCTATTTCCACTTGCCCCCTTTCACTGTACATTCTAGTCACTAAACTTCTTTCAGTTCCTTAAACCCATCTTGTTCTCCAGCTTTGGGCCTGAAAACATGTATTTATCTCTACCTAGAATATTCGTTCTTGCCTATTTCTTTCCCAGCTAACTCCTACACAGTCTTCAGATTTTAGCTTCATTGTCATTTAATCAGGGTGTTCTTCTTTGCCCATATCCTAGATTTAGGGAAATACCATTTCTCCTCTATGATCTAATAGTTCCCTTTGCTTTCCTTGTCATAGTAGCACTTATCATTCCTCTATGAGAATTAAAAAAAAAATTTTTTTTTTACCTTTTCTGATAAACTGAAACACTGTAGGCAGCAGGACTGGTAGCTGTCTTGTTCTTACTGTGTGTCTAGGACCCAGCACAGCGACTAGCTTATAATAGCTGGTGTTACATAAAGATCAGATTGGTCCAGTGGTGTTTGCTCAGAGGGTAATTTTGATGTTTCCCATTGGGATCCCCCAACTTCTTTTTAAAAAACTATTTTCTGTCAGCCCAGCAATCTAGCATCAAGAAAGGAGCCCAAGGGGTATTTGGGTGGCTCTGTCGGTCAAGTGTCTGCACCAGCTCAGGTCATGATCTTGGGGTCCTGGGATCGAGCCCCGCATTGGGCTCCCTGCTCAATGGGAAGTCTGCTTCTCCCTCTCTCTTTGCCCTCCCTCCTCAAATAAATAAATAAAATCTTAAAAAAATAAAGTAGCCCACAAGAAGAGGGACTTGGTTGTATAATTAGGTTGCAATCCTTTTTTTTTTTTTTTTTTAAGATTTTCTTTATTTGAGAGAGAGAGGAGAGCTGTAACGTAGGAGCAGGGGGAGGAGCAGAGGAAGGGGGACAGGCAGACTCTGCTTTGAGCTCGGGGTGGTGGTGGGGGGCTGGGATGGAGGGGTGAGGGCTCAATCCCATGACACTGAGATCATGACCTGATGCTGAGATCACCACCCAAGTGGAAATCAAGAGTGGAAGCTCAACCCTGAAAGAGGTTGCAAGCCTTTTTCTTAGACTTACTGATCCATTAGACCTGATAAATCACTTGCTTAACATCAAGTGAACATATATGGTTAAAGATACTAACTTAAGGGCTCCTGGGAGGCACAGTCGGTTAAGCCACTGACTCTTGATTCTGGCCCGGTCATGATCTCAGGGCTGTGAGATCAAAACCCGCTTTGGGCTCCATGCTGGTTATGGAGCCTGCTTAATATTTTCTCTCTCCCTGTGCTCCCCCTACCCCTTGCTCGTGTGCGCA